TTTCGTTGTTTTCGTTGCAGATACAGCACCTGGGAACCGGAGGAAAATATTCTCGACGAGCGTCTCTTCGCTGCTTTTGAGGAGAGGTTTGTGCACCTTCGACACACGAACATCCACTGTATTTACCTTTTTTCATATTGTAACTGTTTGTCCCAGTCAGATTTGCTGTTTAACACGTGCGGGCTTTTTACACTTCTCGCTTTTCGTTACAGAGAGCGCGAGAGGGAAATGTACGGGCCGAAAAAGAGGGGCCCGAAACCGGAGACTTTCTTGTTAAAGGTGGGCAAGTGGAGCTCGGTGCTCCCGTTATTACAGTGGGCTCTTTAAAATCCGTCTAACTCTCTAAAGTTCACGGACCGTTCGTTGTCTGAACTTAGTTTGTGTGAGGTTTATTTTTTGGAAAGCAGAACGTTTCGTTTTCTAGCCTTATTTCTTCTTTAGTCAGGTGTAAAGACGTTTCAGCCACATCCAGCTGTAAAATGATTCATTTTCAGTGCTTATCAGAATCTTTTGCGTTGTATAAAAATAAACGCGGGTAACAGGGCGCATGCGCTGATCTTGTTTTAAATAATCTTTTCAGGCAAAAGCTAAAGCCAGTGCCAAAAATTACGAATTTAGAAGAGAGATGTCGAGAGAGATCCGAGTGTCCTTCCCCGTGGCGGAGCCCGTGGTCACTCCCCGAGCCCGGGAAGGTCTTCGGACGGTCGTGCCCACTATCTTTCCGCCGAGCACCGTGAACAGGGGCGAAAGCGTTCGAGTTCGCCCCCCGGAGCCGGAGAGGAAAACTCGGCCTGTTCAGGGCCCCGTGGACTTCTTTAACGCGCCCAAAAAGAGAGGACCAAAACCAAAGCCGCGTTTCCCTGTCAGTGCTAGCAGCGGTGCATCCCATGAGTCCTTTAACAGGAGAGCAGACGAGCGCTTTTCTCTGAGCCGCTCTAAAATGGGAGAGACGTCTACCTACGGCCTTATGCAGCTAACGCAGCAGTTTCGCAGCGGGGACGTTCAGAGGCACCTTTCCAGAAACAGTCTGTATAGATCCAGTGATCCGGCCGATGATGATCGACTGTCTCCGGAGCCGCTGGACGTGGAAGAGGAAGGAGGAGAGTCGTGGAGCCCATGTCTGAGGAACATGGAGAAGGTGATCGTGACTGACATCACCAGTAAATCTCTGACTGTAACGATTAAAGAGAGCTCCACAGACAAAGGCTTCTTCAGGGAAAAGAGATGATGGCCTGATGTAAAATAGCTCTGAAACGGTATTATCTAACCAACAGTCTCATTTCTACCCTTTCTTAGTCTCTAACTGTATAGTATGTCTCGCAATCGTGTATATATGTAACAAAAAGAATAGTCTGCATATACATTTCCCTTCGTATTTTCTATGAAAATGTAATTTATTTTTGTACTTCCCAAGGGTTTGTGTAATGTGCAGCAGCAATTAATTGTTTAATTGTTATTTTTTTTCCTAAATGCCCTGGTCAGCTATAATGACTGTAGGCACAGATCGCTGATAACACTCTTTCAGCTTCCAGCACCTTTTATTCAGAGGAAACAGACAGTTCCTCTATTATTATCTGCTATTGTTCTTTATTGTACTGTTGTGTATATTTGAAGGTCTAACATTGTCTGTATTAAAGCACAGAGTAAAAATACGAATATAAATACAAACGTGTGTGTGGCCCAGATATTTAATGCTAATGTGTATTAGATTTCATTGACCTGTCGAGCCTTTCACAGGCACACGTTTTTGACATTTTTCTTTCGGTGTAGGCTTTAAGGAAAACAAAAATGTGCTGAGAACTGCATTTGGCCGAATGTTTGGCTGTTGCTACCAAGTAGTGAATTTTAATGAAGGCCTTGCTGCAGTTGGGCCGTGGTTTTCTTTATTTAGGTCAGTCACTTTGCAATTAAATTCGGTAAAGCTCTCGCTGTATTTTAAGACAGCCGCTGAGGTCCGTCGTCAAAAGCACGGACACGGTCTGTTATCGACAGAAAAAAATTATATATATGCTCGTTCTTCTTTGGCACACAGCAGCATTTTAATTTTTTATTGCGTTGTATGATTTTAACAGTCGCTACAAAACCATAATAATAATAAAATAATAATAAAAAAATAATAGAGTAAAACGGCAAGTGTTTTTATCTGGTTCAAAGTGTAAATCTTTTCTTTAGTGTCAATACATTTTTACTGATTTTTATATCGTTTTTTTATATTTATTTTTACTCGTTGGCTTAAAACGAAGACCTCAGAAGTATTATTAGCTGAATGTCCCAATAATCCCAAAGTAAACACGCGTCCCTTAATTTATGCCGTTTATAGAATTAATAAAAGTATAATGTATTAATGTGTAGTCGGAATTAAACAATGTTCCTCCATAGTGTTAAAATAGTTTGTCTTGGCTGTAGGTTACCAGCATCCTGAAATACAGAAAAAAATAATCAAATGAAAAGTGGAAAATATAAGATCCTTTATGTCTCTGACATTAACGTGTAATGCACCGGATGTTTAATTTTTTGTTTTTTACATATATCTTAATATATATAATCTCACTGCAAAAAAAGGAAAAATAAGAAAACTCACGAGGACTTTTATTATTAAAAATATATAAAAAAAGACGGAAAAAGCTTTCCGCCATTGCAGTGTGGCTCTTTATTTCTCCTGAAATTGGTTACAATAAAATTTAATACTGCGTGCAATTTACGAAATTTACGAGTAATTCATAGTTTATAGAGTCTGAAATGTATAATAATCTAGAGAAACGGACAGAGGGCTCCAAAAATGCTGCGGGTTATTTTTGGATAAAGAAAAACCTGAAACAGATGAATGCTGGGTGATATTTAACGAAACGTCGGGCTGAGTTTTCACAGACTTTGCGTTTACAGATATCTTTAAAAATCTGCTTCAGCTTCAGAGCGCGAGCAGAGAGCTGAGCGCGCTGGCTGGTGTCCTTCACTGGAAGCGCTCTTCGCTGGTCAGTCAGATTGCAGACGGAGGCTGTGATTGCAAGAATTGTTTCCAGACCTGCTTCCCAGACAGGTGTTGAAAAACCACAGAAATCCACAAGATGTCGCCATGACCTTGTTCCAGAACAATCTGCCAGCCGACAGCTCCAAAAAAGCGAGCAGGCCTCCCTCTGTTACAGGCCCAGCGTGGTTCAGCGTCTCTCTTCCAGCAGCAGTTATTGAAACTGAAAATGACCAGTTAAAGGCAGTCATGTCAACTTATAGCACACTTCAATATAAACTAACCATTATCAGACGAGGGATGAAAAGGTTTTAGCGACTCCAGAACCTTTTTTGGGTGGAAAAGATACAGCGATCAGCACGAAGTTTGAACTCAGCAGGCCTGTTTAACCCATTAATGTCCATATGTGAACTTTTACATTTCCTCTGGTCTATAAGTTCTTGTCTGAGCACAAACCTGGAGAATTATTATTAAAATCGATTAAACCATAGCCTGTGTCTACAAGAGACGATCAGATTAAATCCAGCCTCTTAGTTGTACGGGACAACTGATTTTAACAAAACAACTGAAAATCCTAAAAGTATAGTAAAAGTGCAAGAATTAAATGTCATAAAATGCAAAGGAGTTCTTTTAGATGTTCATCCAAGCTGTACATCCTTTAAGAGGTTCTGTTAAGGTTCTTTGTTGGTTATTTTGTCAAGGCAACGGTTATGTATAGAGCTACCACAAGTCAAAGAACCATTTAAATGTTTAGAGCACAGTTTGAACGGTTAAATGGTTCTTCTCTAAACTGTTAAAATGGTTCTTCAAGGATTCTTTAGTAAAGGGAATGGTTCTGTGTAGAATCATTTTTTGCTTAAATGGTACTTTGCATGGTGAATAAATTCTTCAGATTGGTGAAGAACGTGTTGTATATGGTTCCATTTAGAACTTTTTTTAAAATGGTTCTATATAGCACCGAAAAGGGTTCTTCTATTGTTACAAGCTTGAAATCGTCACAATAGCAGAACCCTTTTTGGTGCTATATAAAAGCATTTTTAAAACGTTCTATATAGAACCATATACAACATATTCTCCGTCCATCTATCTGAAAAACCATTTAAGCATGAAATGATTATACATAGAACTCATGGTTCTAAATAAAACAGTGCCCTTTACTAAAAACCCTTGAAGAACCATCTTTTTGAAGTGTTTGATGGAGAACCTGTTGTATCTGGTTCCTTAAAGAACCGTTGAATAAATTATTCTATGTATGATCGAAAAGGGTTCCATTACTGTTATAAGTCAAAGAACATTTTCTGGTACTATATAGAACCCATTTTTGCTAAGAGTGCAAATACAAAATTTAGTAACTGCAGACCAACCAGAAAAAAGGTTCTGTGTTATTTTCTTTATCTCACTAAATATAGTTGTTGGACATGAATGAGTTCAGTTTAGAGGTAACTGCCATATTTAGCTATGCAGTTCTAAAGTGTGGCGTTAAGCCTGTTTTTAATCGCGGAGTGTTTTAATGTCTGCTTTTAAAAATCGCCGCAGGGTGAGTTCAGGTGAAGTGGAACACCTCAGTTTAATAGCATTGGGCTTTGTTACTGTTCTGCTCTGCGTTAACAAATGTCTTTTAATCAGTGCATCATTTTAAAATCAACTGCATCTCGAAAGCCCAGCTGACTGGTGTTCTATTCGAAGATGTTAGAGCTGTAGTTTTCAATAACCTGTTTGTTACAAGCGAGTAAATTGATTATTTAAAATATTACATCATGTGTAATCTTATATCTGTTTCGGGAAACAGCAGGGTGGGATTGAGGATTGAGAGCCCATGTGTTAACCTCATAAATTACACTGAGTGAGGGTGGAGTCGACCCCCTAACCTCCCCCTGAGGGGAGAGAAAGTGTTAAAGCCCTCTGCTTGCCCTGTTGAGAGTCAGTTCTTCGCTGGGTTGACACGGTGCAGCACATCTCAGCGCTCCTGAACTGATGCAGTGCAGAATAATGTGTAGCCTCACTTTCCAACTCAGAGACCTTCTGTTTCGTTGAGATGTCGCTGAAAGGAGGCGGATTACTGCAATTTATACAAACCGTGTGTTTCCTCTCGTGTTGTTCAGCAGACGTGTGCAGCTGGAGTGGAAGGTGAGAACCCGCGCCGGTGATCACTTTGTATGGATTATTAATACAAATCTGTGATGTTAGATTATTTTAAATACATTGATAGAGAATTAGAGCTGAGTTAACATTTCAAGACGTTATCCAAGCTCTGTTAACCAGAGCGGCAGGACAAACTCAGACCGATTCAGACAAACCGAGACAAATTCAGGTCAGTTTATTCAAGCAATTTTCAGAGGGGGATGAATCCCGATAATTTACAGTAATACAGTCAAAACTTTATTGGTTCTGAAAGAACTGGCTGATACAATTCAGTTGTTTTTAGGCATATCCAGTGCACCTTTTAGTGGTTTTAAACACTTTTTTTCAGTAGTTTTTAAGCAATCCGAATGCAGGTTTTAGAGTTTTTTTCATTATTTAGGTGTTTTTAGACATTTTCAATGCACTTTTTGATATTTTTGTTTTTGGTAATGAATAAATATATCTCTCTATCCGTCCATCTGCCTGTCTCTTAATCTATCTAGTTACATGTTTTTCTTTAATTATACCTGATTTAATAAACTCTATCTATCTATCTATCTATCTATCTATCTATCTGTTCATCCTCTCGCTCACGTTTCACCGAATTACTCACTATTCATTTACATACTTATTTTTGTATTCATTTCACTCATTCATTCGTCAGAATAGGGTTTATTCGCCACTTCCATTATTATGTATTAGGAATTTATCTTGATATTTTGGTCACAACAGCAAAATCTATATTTATATTTATATTTACTCATTGAATCATCAATAAACAGCATACACAGAACACAGCTTAGTCGTATGTACGTGTGTACAGAAGTAAGGTGCATGGCAGATTACACAGTTACTGCGCGGGTCCAGCAATATAGTATGTAGGAAATATGCGCTGTGCAAGACGCAGAAATGACGATGGCAAGTCAACACTGTATTCATTTATTCATTTCAGTTTCAGTTTTCATTTCTGTGCGTATGTGTTTGTTTTTGTGCTGGTCAGCGGCTTAGTGCGGGATCCTCTCTCAGGGCCGGTCCAGCAGGTCAGTCTGCGCTGCTCTGCGGGCTCAGTCCGCTGGCTCTTCCCGCGTCTCGCGCTGCGTCTCCTGCTGAAGCCGAACGTGGCTTCCGCGCGCCCCGCCGCGCTCTGCATTAAAGCCTCGCGCGCGTCCCGCGGCGCCGCTGTGTACGCGGAGCGAGCCGGAGAGCTGCAGCTGCTCGTGGAGGACGGAGAGCTGCCCGAGCAGGTGCACTGCGTCCGCACGGACGGAGTTCAGGGAGCGGCCATCTTCCTTCAAGCCAACCCGCAGAGCGATTTCCGGCGGCGAGCAGTGAGCTTCCGGTACGAGCTGCTGCAGGAAAAGAGCATCGCGAGCAAAGGTAAAAATACAGATAGACACAGATCAGCCATGACACTAAAACCACCTACTGGTTTCTACACTCACTGTCCATTTTATCAGATACACTTACCATAGAAGTGCACTTTGTAGTTCTACCATGATCCACTGCTCAAATAATATCTGCTCTGTGGTGGTCCTGTGGGGGTCCTGACCATTGAGGAATGGGTAAAAGGGGGTTAAAAAAATATGCAGAAAAACAGATGGACTACAGTCTGTAATTGTAGAACTACCAAATGCACCTACGTGGTAAGTGGAGTTGATAAAATGGACAAAGAGTGTATAAAAGGTGGTTTTAATGATATTATCAGTGTTTATGAGATGGGCTTTGAGCTAGTAACAAATAGGAGAACAGAAAATATTACATATGTACTTCCATTCTTATAATCATCTGTTCATTCATTGCTAAATGAACTCCTTAATTTTTGCACTGTAGTCTTCAGTTTGACTCAAACAGAAGTCATATGTTTGTAGACATCTAAGGTTTCTTCTGAAGTCAAGGGTATTAAAAGGGAGTTTTCCCTTTTTCTACACTAACAGCCTCTACTCTTCTGGAAAGGCTTTACACTAGATGTTGGAACACTGCTGTGAGGACTTGATTGAATTCAGCCACAAAAGGGGCAGAATACTTTGGAAAAGTAGGCATGGTTGGATACAGACTACGCTGTCTTAAATGTATTCAGTTACATATTCCATTACAATATATACAAAAATAACATATTCACGACACATTTAGAATACATTTATAATACACCTTGATGAGGCACATGGGAAAAACTACCTCACTGTTACTGGTTGGCAGGGTTCTTTACATAATTCTTCTCTTAATGTGTTTCTTTAAAGATTCGCTTAATTTAAATGAAGTTATAAAATTCATTGCCTTATTTTAGGTTTTCCTTCTCCTTAGGTTTCCAGCTTCAGTCCACTCTTGTTCCCATAACCCTACTGCCATCTTATTAACGAAGCAAATAATTCACCATATCCCAATAACAAAATCTTGCAAATTTGACTAGCTATGTGATTTTGAGTTAACTGAATGTATGTAACTTGTCATGAAACTTATGTACGAGTCCAGTACAACACCAATACTAAGCTTATTGCTCTTAAACATGTCAACTACTGAGGAGCCTGTTTCATTCCTCAAAAGAGTAACTGAGATTAATAACACTGATTTGTTAGTCTACTCAGGCTTTAACAGGAACATCAGCGTTTGTAAAGAAGCCATTTTTTAAGTTCTTTAGAGTCCTTCTTTACATGTCATGCGCTGATTTTAAAATATTTGGTAAACATGTATATTTTAAAATATTTGGTAACTCATCCTAACAGTACTGGATGGAGCTCCACCACTCCAGAGAACACAGTCCCACTGCTCCGTAGTCCAGTAATGGAGCAATCATGTCCTCTATGGAGATTAGACAAGCGGTGTGAGCGCATGAGTGCTCCTTCAACTAACTGAATTCACTATGTAGAAGGATATATTTGTGCTTGTAGTCTACATTAACACACAACACTTCTGGAGTTTACTCAGCGCTGTTAGCTGTAAGGAGTTAGTAAAAAAGATCACTAATTTTCTCTTGTCATCAGGCCGTGCTCACCGAAACAGAGTTTTATAAGCTGTTTCATCATTTTACTGATTCAAAATGCCATCTGCCCTGTCAAAAGTTAGGTCAGCAGCCTCACCTCTGCATAAAGACGTCAACTGCTTCTTAAATTCCAGGGATTCCTAATCATTCTAAGTATATGAGAGTACGACAAAAGCTAAGACAGGAGGCCGTGTTTGTCTGACCTCGCTCTCCCAGAGCTGATAGCGAAGAATTCAAATTTCACCCACATGCCTTCTTCCTCAGTGACAATTCAATTAACTCTATACAATAAGAGGATAAGGCTAAATTCAAGACCAGCTCTTTTTCTTCGCAGATGGACAGAGGTTGACATTTGGGATTATACGCCACATGCTTCATATACCCCTCAAGGCTCCTTGGAGTCTTTCATAGCAGATGATGACCACTCTCTAATAAAGTGTGGTTAAAAGTTAATTAGTCTGCTCTCTTGCCATGAACCACAGCTCCCAACAAAGTGTGTTTTGTGTGACCATGCTATCTTCTGCTGATTTCTCCACTTTGTCTCTCTTCTCCCTCACAGCTGCCTGCCGACCATGCAATGACTCTGAGATCCTCCAGGCCATCTGTACTAGTGACTTTGGTGAGTGCCATTGACGTTGTTCAGTATTTTAATAGGCTCACACTGCTCACTACTAGGGGTGGGTGGTTATCATACAGTCGCTTCAAAAGGGTTTTGGACATTTGTGCGGTACCTAAAATGTATTAAGTTCACTGTGTTAAGAAACAAAATGTCAAACCAAGTGGCATTTATTTTAAACAGACCATTCCAAGTTTTTTTTCTCTTTGGCTGAGTTTTCTTTTAAAGGGCTGCTGGTGTGAGTCAAACTGTTATTGTTTGAGTAAGTGCTTTGCAGACTTTTGCAGGTTTGCATTCAAAATGTCTTTGTTTATGTCTGATTTCATGATACCATCAGTGAACACAAGCTCACCATTGTAAGAAAAACAGCCCCAGGCTTTGTCCTTTACAGTCCTCTTAATGCAGTTTGGTAGAATTCTTAACCCTGGCTTTCACAAAGAGTCTATCAGCAGTTTGAAATTGTGCTAAAAGTGTTTTTACTGAAACAAATATCATTTTGTGAAAGATTTTATTAAGTAAGTTAAACTTTCATCTCATTAAAGTTTACCAATGGTGAAGTGTCCAAATATTTTGGTATGTCTGTATGTTATGTTTATCTCAAGAAAACTGGATGGCAGCCCGTTACGCCATTTTCTTATTTTATTAATTTATTTGTAACAAATGTATAAACAGAATCTACATACACTCGAGAACACAAAGGTGCAAACAGTTCTACTGGTTACAAACACGTCATGAATCTGACGTGGACTTTTACTTAGGACCTTTCTCAAGAACTAATTTAAGAAAAAACATAGGAAGATATTGGTGAATGAGGCTCCTAGTTTTTAAATGTGGCTTTCTCATCTTGATGGTGCATTTTGTCTGTTTCAACTTTGTTGCAAATTTCAGAAAAAGTAAATATACATATCAGGCATTGTGTAAAAGTATTGTCATGTTAGATTCTCGTTACCTTTATTTCTGAAATAAAAATACAATACAGTCCTATGCAAATAGCAAGCTGGGATTACCTTGTGATAAATGAGGTAGTGTCAAAGATGACCCCTACTCGATCACTTCAGATCACTCTACTCTTTTGTGTGGGTGTGTGCACATATGCATTTGTGTGCCAGTGTGTGTGCTAGGAAAGAGTAGGTTTTGCAAACTCAGCATCATGAATCATGAAAGATAATACCAATAATAACACTGATCATTCTCGAGTGTTATGAATCAGCCCTATTTATCAGAGTAGTCAGTCTCTCTCTTGGACGCCGAGGTTAATTTATTCCTTGAATAGCTGCGTGCAGGGCGAGGGCCTGATCTGTTCCCAGCAAGCTGCTGCTCTGCCTCTGCTGAGAGGCCTGGCAGATGTGGGGGCTCTGGCACACACAATGGGAGGCACATGGCTTTAAGGCCAGCGACAGAGCAGAAGCAACGGCTGCTTTGAACTCACTCCATTTATAGGCTGACCCTCGTGCCCTAATCTCACAAATCGCCACTTTTTGATGAGGGAAAATAGCTGGCTAATGAAAGTGTAAATGCTGGCAAGGAGTGAAAAAGGCTTTTACTTGCCTCGCTGTGATGCAGTGTGTGGGGGGATGGGAGAAGTTTTGGAGGGAGAGTGGTAGAAAAGGACCCTTATCCTCAGCAGGATTTATTCAAAAGGAGAAAACTCATTATTCTCATTCACTCACGCAACTCATCAGTTATTAACAAGCCCATCATGAGGCAAAATTAATTCGTTACAGTAGGAAAAACATTAAAATATGCAGGGAGTGGGTACTTCTGGATTATAATATAAGCCCTATTCAAGCTTCTTGTACAAGGGGTCATCTAATGTAATTTGTAAGGGATTTGACTGTCCACTTGATACAGGATATAGTATCTGCAGTTAACCCAGATTGAACCTTCATAACCCTGTTATTCACGCCAGCAAGCGCCACACTCAATAACAATAACAATACAGCACACAGCCATGATTGTTACCAGGTTTTGGGATTACATTACAGTGATGTTGATTTGATCAAGACTACTATTGCTGAGGGAACCCCAGGATCGTCATATTACAGAAGGTTATTTGCTCATCAGGGGAAGCAAGGGAGGCTTGGCGTCCACAACAAATTACTCTAAATAAACTTAACACATTATATGTTGTTTTTGTATCAGCCCCCAACTTTTACATGACTAATTTTAGAAAATTGTGCTTACAGTTTCTTCCAAGAGAATTCACAGCTGCCAAAGATGAATACCTGACAACATACAACCTCTCTGATAACTAAGCTGGTCAGTTAGAATCAATATGAAAATTAAGCAAAGTAATTTGTTTCAACTTGATATGTTCATTATTTGTCTGTTCACATGGTTAAAAAAAACAAAAAAATCACATTCAAATCATATATCAAAATATGTATTTAATCAAAATATATGTATGTTGCACAGCTAGGGTTCTCAGGAATCTGCATAATCCCATTTGGCCTGTGCCATGTCAGACAGCTAAATATGGTGTTTAATTATTGTGATCCAAATAAGTAGTCTAACATTCACATTTAGGTGCTATTGGGTGTAGTGGCATTCATTTTTTGCACTGTGGCCCATAGTTACACCACTGTTTTTATGGTCTTTAGGATTCTTAATGGGTTGTTTGAGCTTTCTCTAACTGCATATATCTTGTTGCCAGACAGTGCATTACACACTCTAATAAAGACTTTGTCTGAATCATTGGACACTTTTTCTGTTCTATCAGTGATCCGTGGCTCCATACGTAATGTATCCCATCATCCTGAGCGGCAGACGTCCGTGATCGAGGTGGAGGAGGCCCGAGTATACCGACAGCGCAGCAGCATCTTTGAGAGAGAGCCGATCATGTCTGGCCACTGGCACGGCCACATCCACACCCCCCTGCAGTGCCACGTTAAAGCCGGAGCTGGCCAGTTCCTCTTCACCGGAGCTGAGCACTTTGGCGAGGCTTGGCTCAGCTGTGCTCCCAGATTCAAAGACTTTGAGGAGCTGTATTATTTAGCCAGGGCAGCACAGCACATAACCTGTGAATTTCCAATCGACTGATAAGATTCATGCTATGTTATATATATCCTGGCTGTCATAACAAAACCTTGTATCTCTGAAATGGTAACTTCCGCCAAAATGTTTGCATATAGTAAAGGTTGAGATGTCATTCGGAGTGATGTTATGTGAAATACTCCCTTTTAGAAAGTTGTTTACTATGGGGGTGATAGGAACCAGGCGTCTGAAGAAGTTTCTCTAAAAGCCTCCTAACAGGAAGTTATTAAGCAAAATGATTATGAATGCATTGCCTGATGCGTGAGTTGTTGTTTTATGATAGTTTTGAGAAGGTTGTGGCCTAAAACTTTGGTTTTGGATAGTAAATAAAATGGTAATTTTTGTGTTGTAGACCTCACAACCTCTGGTTCCTATCACCAATCTATTGACTCGGATTTCTCAAGCCACTCTGATTGACTTCGCTTACTTGCTTACTTATCTCGACAATTGAATTATGCAGAAATTTTGAAGGAAAAAAAAACATTTAAAGAGGAAGGAACAAACGTTCTTAACTTTATTGTGTGCTTATAAGACAAGATTTTATTTTGGACCACTTCTACTGCTATTTATCAGTGTCCAAAGTGCAGCTGGAAGTTTCAAACAGTGTTTCAAAAACAAAAAAGAAAAATGGAGTTACAATTTTTTGATACTACAGCGACAATATAACAGTTTGGGAACTGTTCAGGGTAATTTAGTTAGAGACATTTAATGCTCAATGCAAACCAAAGGTTCACATGATAGATAGCTATTTGTTTTTTGTGCTCTAAATGAGAGCTTTGCAACTCCAACTTTCTTTCTGCGTCCCCACCCACTGCTCTTTTCAAAGAACTGTTGAAAGACACCACAAAGTGTTAAATTAACACCTTTAGTGTGGAAAGAACACTTACAGTGTTGAATTAACACATAAAGGTTTCATTTGTGCCCTGTTAGTCTTGTTTGAACAGTAGGTGTTAATTCAGTCATGGTGATTTTTCTTTAAAGAACCCGCAGGTTGTCCATCATAGTGAAGAAGCTTTTAACCTTGCAAAGAACCATTGGTTCTTTTAGTTGTCATGGTTCTAAGTATAACCACTGCCTTTTCTAATGAAGCTTTGAAGAAGCATTTTATGGTTGTAAAGTACAGCTTATCAAAAGGTTTGTATGAGAGTGTGGATATGAAATTTAAAGGTTCTTTGTTTATATAAAATTTTTAAACAAGATTTGTAGTTCACCAAAATGTACAGTGTGATCACATGTGAAGACACACTGATTTATATATGGTTTTATACAGGGTATGAAAGCATTTGTGCATGGAGATGGTTTCAAATCAGTTGAAACTGAAAATGTCCTTTAATGTCCATTAGCTTTTAATTAGAACTGCATGTCACATGATTTTACTTGTACATATTTGTAATAAAGCTGTGCTTCATTTTGTTCAGCAGTAAACATCTGAAAAACTAATGATTATTTTTTAAATGAATGGAAGAACTAAATCATGATATGAACCATTTTAACTTAACTGCATAAAGTTAGATACAATCATGTCCAAATGTCTGGGCGCCCCTGGTCAAATGATATGTTTTGTTGATTTTCTAGGTGAAAATAAGTGAATACATCCTCTACAGAGAACACACTTCTGTTTATTTTAAGACACAATTACTATTTCTTTGTTGGATTAATGTTAACATATTGGGGGGAAAACATAAAATGAGTTTTATGTATTTTTTTTCTCAATATTGTAAATTCTTTTAAAACACTAAAACTTTCACTTTCACAGAAAAAAATATTCCAGACTGTCACTGTCGAGAAATGAGCAATAACATGTAAACAATCAATTTCTTTGCCCTTAGATGTCACATCTTTGCATGCATCAGAACATCACACCTCATTTTAACCATAAATTCCAATTCATTCTGTATTTCTGTGTGATTGAGTGGTTTGTTGTGAAACATTTCACTCTATGGAAACTTTGTGAGACAGAGTTGTGCACAGCGGTGATGAGAGGAACCTTTAGGAGCTACCTCACAGAAAGTTATTTAAACAAAAAAAGATACACAGCCATTGGTCTGAGACGTTGTTTCATGATAGGTTTAAGCTTTTGGCGTAAAACATATTTGAATGCATTCATGGTGGAGAGGGACATGTGAAATGTTGTAAAGCAAAAAGTACCCAATTTTTATTTTACCACCATGTAACTACATTAAGTGCTTGGAGTTAAAGGGGAATTCCACTAAAACCCCTTGCTGCAGCGAGTGTCTTTTGTCTTCTTTGATATGTCTGCTCTGAAATACCCTTCTGCATAATGGGCTTTCCCTTGACAAGAGAAGGAGTCAGACTTTTCTGTCCTCAACGCTAACTTGGGCCTTTTTCTGCTGTTGTCTATATCCCTTTTTAAGCCGGATCCTTTGTGAATGGACGAGGCCTAGCAGAAAATGATATACAAATGTGTCTAAGATAGAGAAAGCTCAGAGCTGAATTGATCCATTCTTTGGAACTTGGCGGACTGAAGTCATGGTTTAGGGAAGCTGACTAAACAGATGTGGGCGACTCTGGATGGAAGACTAAAGGCCCCGTCAGTGGGCCCCTCCCAGAAGGGGGACAATTAATTGACTTTTAAAACAACTTCTTTTCTTCCTGCTCCACACTTCTACTTGGCTGAGCAGGATTCACAAATTGCTGTCTTAGGCTTTTTTATGGCGACTAAATAGCTGCCAATGAAAGTGTAAATGACCTTGGAGTGAATGCACATCTCACAATAGCACCACCGTCGCAAGTCTCTGGCTGACATAATGATCATTGTCATCACGGCTGTCGCCCAGGAGGCTCAGGGGCCCATGAATGTAGAAGGGTGAATTGAGGGAAGGAGGAGTGGCCAGCGATTGCTTCCATTACCTATTGCAGTGGAGATTAGCCAGTTTAGCAAAGTTAATCCTCAGTCTCCGTGATAGCCCACTTCTTCAGCATCTCCTATTAGTCGAACATATCACATCATATTTTTTAACCATTGCTTGCAAATATATAGTTGTATGCATATAGATAGTCATAAAACATGTAATATTATTTTTAACCTTTAAACCTCAAAGTCTGGTATGTGAGCCAATCTAAAGTCTCTCACTCTTAACTACATAAATTATATGGATCACACTATAGAATACAGACTTTTAACTGCCTTGTATTTTAGTCTAAGATCCTTTTGCTTTGAATGACCATATACCTTAATTAGGTTTATTTTATTGCAACAAATGATTGAACATTCTGTTCTACCAACAATAATAACACCTCCGAAACTTTACCAAATGTTTCGGTAGTGGCTGTTTGGGTAGTGATCCTTTTAGTTCATTTTGTTCATAACTCAGCAAACACAGTATTGAACAGCTGTACACACATAAAATCATAATTGTTCATTAAAACAAAACAAAGCAGGAAATATGTGTTTCAGTAGTGACAATCCTGAATGTTACACACTGATTTTCAGACTTTGGGACACATTTACTTCAAAACAATGAGATCTAACTGCTCACCGTGTGGCCATGAAGGACAGGGATGCAGTCACTTCCTACTCTACAATGCAGGAGTATGGCTAAAAAACTAAAACTCTTTGTGTTTCGGTAATGACATGAAAATGTGGGACAGCATTTTTTGAAGTTTTATATGATAAACTCACATTAAAAAATTATGATTTTGTACATATTTAGCTTACTATTATCTCAATGCCTTGGGTTTAGATTATGGTGTAATCCTTGTAAATATCGAAGGTCTGAATGCTTAACTTTTTTTTCATTATTGGAACCAATTCTGTGGAATGGTTCATGTATTACATTCATAGTATTTACTGAATATGTCAGATAGTTTTATATACTAAATAAAGATTATTAACTAAATATTCATCTTGCAGCTGGTGTAAGCAGTTTCAAAAGAAAATGTATAATCTAGACTAGCATGTATAGAATAGAGAATATAGAAACAGTCAGATTTGATATTTGTGTAGCTCTGGCTGATGTGTGGAGCAACAGCAGTAATTAGCATAAATTTGTTTTGTGAATTAATGGGTCTCCAACAAGTGCTTTGACATCTAATTTACCAAGAAAATAGCCTCAAATCATATGTTCACCTATGTGGACCATGCATAAAAAAAAGTTATTCCAATAAATTCCAGGCATATAATGTCATAAGGCTTATTATTCATTGACTACATGGAAAACAATGCTAATGAGGTAACTGAGGTATTGTTTAAAATTCCACTGATTTTACTAAATTTCTGTATAATTAAATCATTAAGATTAAAGTCATTCATAAGATGTCATTCAGGTTATTTTGATGTGAAATGTACCAGTTTAGAGAAACTGACCTCACAGAGAGTTATTACATCAAAAGGTTAAATTTCTATTTTTCAATTTTTTTAATATACATTTGTAGTTGAGAGGTGCCCTAAAGGAATTGTAATGCAAAATTAATAGGCAAAGAAAAACTTTTTAAAATTTACCACCATTAACATTACATATAAAACACAGAAGATAAGTTTAGTTCACTTGTTATTTGAGAAAATAAATTAACGGCTGTGTCTCTGTTGTATACATTAAGACCTCTGGTTCCTTTCACTACCATAGTAAAGGAATCTGTACATTTTTTTACAAAAAAGTTACTATTTTGAACGACTCTGCTTACATCTCAATAACTGAGTTATGAAACATTTTTGATTTGCATAATTTAAACATTCAGAATTCCCCTTTAATTTATAGAAGACAGCGATGCAAGCCTGAATTTGCTGTCATGTTTTTCTTCTTCTATAAAGTTAGCAATTCCACTACCAATGTCTTGTTGTGACACTGATGAAATACAAGTGTACATCTACTCAGTGCAGGCTTGTGAAAATCTGTATGCATCAGCTGAACAGCTCTGCAAATGACTTCATTCAGTTTTCAGTGTACGTTCACTCACTATTGTCGATTCCCGCCTGGGGCACTTCACCCCAGCCTGAGCTCCATCTGCCAGACGTCCCACATCGGAGGCAGCGGTTTTTGTGGGGGAACGGGCCAGGGATCTCAGGGGAGCGCCGCGCCCCCGGCCCGGAAGGCCGGCGGGAGATCTCCCAGCAGGCCGGGTAATTGGTTTAAAGCACCGCCTGCCAAGCTTTCCCATGTGGGCCACTGCTGAGCTGCGGCACAATATGGAACAGCATGATACCCAGCACTCAGCCTATAGGCTACACAAAAGCCAAATCTGATATTGCCTTCCACTCCTATAGCTGAAAATGCCTCCTTTCTCCTCTCGCCTGGCTTTTATAATTGAGTTGTGGTGCAACTTCATTGACAGAATTTTATTCTTTCAATTCAAAAGGTAATGAGGAGTAGAATTCACCCATAAACACAACACAAAATGACTGTCAGCCTTATTGGCTACACCTGGCTCTGTTTTCAGTGCAAGGCATTAGCTCCCATGGTATTTCAGTAACCACTAACAAACACTAAGGCCATTGAAGGAATTTATCTTTTTCACACTTTGAGGCTTATGCAGTCCTGCCACAGCTCTCAGACTTCAAAACCCTTTAACTTCAGACAATGTGGACAAAGCCAGGCAGATGAATTGCAATATCTTTGTTCATCAGGATTACCCTACAAACTCCATTAACCACCCAAACAGGCTTTTTTCTCCATTGTGTGTGTGGTTTGGACATCATAAGAGGTAAAGCAGATGTGTACACACAGTCTTTTAAGGAATTGTATTCAAATAGAAGAAGTGAAATATATTTTTTTGGCTTATCAATTTTGTCTCTTTACATACTTTCACAGACATAGCTGAAATACTTGCTTCCAAAAACGGTTATAGATCACTTTCAAGTTTTTATTTTTTTCATGATGTATGTTGTTGGGAGTGGGCTTAGAAGATATGTCAGTGCTATTTTAGGATTGATACCATCTTTATTAGAGAAATGAATGTGTGTTTTCCAGCTGTTACCGTATGTCAGCTGTTATTCTTTTTAAAAACTTCTACTATCTAAAATTGCTACAAATGGATATACAGTATTTTGGAAAGAAACTCCTCAATTTCAAACAGAAAGCAGACAGAGATGCAAGACAAATGAAAAGGTTTTTAACCTTTTTTAATCTTTGAATTTAAGGGGGAACTCTGCATTCTCTGCATTCTGCATAATTCAATGGTTAAGATGTAAACAGTCATTCAGTCTAATTTGATATGAAACACTCCATTCTAGAGAAACTGACAGAGTCAGAACTGTTCACAGTGGTGGTGAAAGGAATCAGACGTCTGAAGCATTCAATGTCTTTAAAGCTATCTTACACAAAGCTATGTATTACACACAATGGCTATGAATGTGTTGCCTGATGCCTGAGACATTGTTTTACAATAGTTTAGAGGTCAGATTTTGGCCTAAAACATATTTTAAACACATTGCATAGAGATACAAACAGGGTGTTTTCAGATTTACCACTATTTTAATATTGTCAACAGTATGTGTAAAAACTCACATATAGCTTCACTGGTGGTTTTGAATAGTAAATAAATGGGTTGCTCTATTTGTGTTGTGGAGGTTAAAGTTAGTTAGCCAGTTAGTTAGGTTCTCTGCACTGCATCATTCCACATCAAACCACTCTGAATGACTGTTTACATCTCAAGGATTGAACTGGTGGAATTCCTCTTTAAATGTACCCCATCTATATTCACCAGAGCATGTCTTGCTGTAGAACATGCTAGTGGTCACTTAGCAGTCATGAGATTTTTTTTTTTTTAAGGTAAGGAAGCGAACGCTGCCGCTGTCTAGGACATAATCATTAAAAAATTATAACACTAAAATACGTAGAGTTAAACTATCCAGAATGATAATATTAAAAAGGAGTGTTTTATCCACACAGGGGTCGCTAACAGACTAACACAATTCCACCAACGTGCTCTCACTGTTAGAAATATATAATATATAGATCATATAAAAATAGGAATGACAAAGAAAACAGAAAAAAGGGCAAAACTGACCACCACTACATTCTCACTGGGTTGGTACCTTTAGTTAGGAAATATAATTGTACCATAATCCAATTTTTTTTTACTTGCCACATGACTCCACATGCCCTGTCTTGTCTCCAGTATTTTTATTTTATTGTTTTTATTTAATTTTATTGTTTTTAAACATAAGGTTATGAAAGGGTACAAATATGTACTCTTCCTCTGGGAAAAAAAAAAATAATGTACACATTTGGACCTGAAAACCATGTTGTACCTTTGAAGGTACATTTACACAGTTTGTACCTTGATGAATGAAACATGTACCTGAGCATTACCATTTATTCTCTCAGAGTGCCACATCAGCCTCGCCATTTCAAAAAGATTCTTGCTCTAATTCTAATGACTGAGCTCTCACAATCATTCAAGTAAATGTATATGAATGCTGCTGAATGTTGAGGAAACCTAGTATGTAAAGCAGGTATAATGGTAAAATAATGGTGTAACCGTTTTTTCTTATTTTTTCTTATTTTTAGTTTTAATGCCATGCTGGATACAAAAATGATCATTATAATGTCATAATTCAGACACTTTCTGGCCACTACACTGTAGTATATATAGCTGCGCACTGATTGAATATCAGCTCCAGCACCCCCCACCGCGACCCAGAAGGATAAATGGTTCAGATGATGTTTGTGTGCTTGGTGATTATAAAAATGATTCTGAAAAAAGTTTTTCTTTGTCGTGTTTTTTCATGAGAGTAAATATATCATATTTAATCTGTGCATTTTCCTTTTTGACTTCCATTGAATGAATCTTGCTCCAGGTGAATATGAAGTCTGAGGTGCAGAATCGATCTTTTTGAGACTTATGTTATTGTCATAAATCTATTAATACACTGGTTAGGTTGTGTTAAGGTTAAGATGTATATTTAAGAACGAGTCTCTGTTAATGATGTAAAACCTGAGACATGTTAAACAATGTGTTATTTCCACAGGATTCGCATCTTCTGATCTCCAAGTAGAATTCTAGAGCACAGAACATAAAGCTTAATTTAGCATTCTGTGATAAAGTCAGATGAAGACGGGTTAAACAATGAGATAAACATGTACTGAAATACGTCTGTTTTGTGGGTTGTTTACCTTACTGAAGCGGCTGCGATTACTGATCCAGTAATGGGTCCAACCCAGTAGACCCAATGGTAGGTCCAGTAGCCGGTCATTAGTGCTGGTCCCATTGCTCTGGCAGGGTTCAGACACGTGCCAGACACATCACCTCTACAACCAAAGGATAATCAGTTTTAAAAATTCATCACACACAAAATGGTCTTCCTGATCCTACAACACCTCTTTCAGTACAGTTATGTTCATTTTAGGTGGTCTGTCCAATTTTTGCAGCGTTGGATCCCCTGCTGTTTGTATTTAGGCTGTTTTTATTTTTTTAGTTTGTCAACAATAATGCTGTCCTACTCTTCTGGGCATTTTTGCTTTTTTTTAAACAATGCAATACAATTTACCTTGTTAAAATATTGTAATGTATATGTTGTCTAATATATTGCAAGCCATTTCGCAATTTTCGCAAAAAGCTGCTGAATACAGATGATATACAGAGTACTGTGCAAAAGTTAGAGAACACTCTTCATTTATTGAATTTCCAGTCCGAAGATAATTAAGAGGGGGTGAGATATAAGATAACCCATCCACATAAGGAAGGAGAAGGTCAAAAAAAAAGATTGTCCAAAACTGAAGCTCAAAACATGCTTACAAGATACAGAGAAAATAGGACTCCTAAGAACCGTGTAAGATCTAGTAGACCACCAACACTGTCACTGTCCTCATCAGATAAACAGTGAGAAGACAATTTAACACTAAGAGTCTGAAATGATGTGAAGCCATTAAAGGAGGAAAAATAGAAGCTAATATGCAAATCAACCAAAGAAGCTGGTGGTGTTCTCAGAACAATGGACTGACCACAAGTCAACAGACCTCAATATCACTGAATGTGGTTGGGATTAATTTTATTGTGAGAAGCAGAAATTGCAACCAACTTCTAAGACTGAACTTTGGAGGTGTGGAAAAATATCCTTTTCTTTCTTTGAAAAACTGAAAGTAAGTCTTGAAAAGAATGGAAGTTGTGATAAAGGTAAAGTGTGGACACATTAAATACTGAAAGTGTTATCAAAATGTTATTAAATGGTATTATATTTAGCTGTTGAGGCATAAATATGTCTTCTGCTTTTTTCCTGACACTGAAAAGTGAATCTTAATGGCTGTTTTGCTAAGAAATTAAATAAATGAAGAGTGGTCTCTGACTTTTGCAAAGTACTGTATATATCTGAGCCCCTTCAACAAAAATATATATTAACCATTCCAATTTTTTGAGTTGTCAGTTATTTTCAATTTTATTTTGTACAACCTTCTATATTCAAAAGCCAAACTATGCTTTATGTACGTTTTAGTGACCCCTTTATTTTAAATACAGGGCGCCAAACAATGCCATACCCTGCTTATATGATTTTTTTCTATTCTATTCTATTCTATTCTATTCTATTCTACCATTGCAATGACCACAGAGTCACACTTCTGTTAACTCACCCTGCCAGTACATTAATTATAACTGTAGAGCCGACCAGGAAAGGAACTAATGGGCTTTTGCTCTTGGAATTAACGGCACCCAACAGCACCACCATGGTGATCAGCCACGTCATAGCAATCTCTCCAAAGAGCGCCTGCAGAAGCTGCTCGTCTGACTGCAGGACGGTGAAGGCTGCTCCATGAGCTTTGCCGTAGTTTTCATTCGTTGTCATCAGCTGCAAACAGAGCATGAAAAGAGGTGTTAAGCAAATGTTAACAGATCAGCTCAGCTTGTGTTCTATATAACTTTACGAGCCTATTCATTCTCACTTTACAGCCAGGGTTCTTCACGTCGCCTCGAGCACTCTGCTCTGTCCTCAGCAGTGTTAGAAGGTGCTGTGACCTGCTTTATTGCTGTATTGACACAAACACTGAGGGCTGTGAACTCACAGCAGTCATGCAAGCCTACAAAAGCCTCACCTTTGCCATTGCAGCACCGAGCACGCCTCCAATTAGCTGACAGGTCACGTAAGGCACGACCAGGAACAGCTCGATGCCACCACAGAGGTAGATGGCCATGGTGAATGGAGGATTAAAGTGGGAACCACTTTGTAGAAAGAAAAAAAAGGGGTAAGAAGATATCTAGAGCATGTTAGCACACCTGCTCAGCATGTTCAAGATGCTCTCTTAAATTATTTTCTTATAATCTATTTAGGTTCCTAAGTGGTTCTTAGCATGGATGTATTGTTCCAGGAAAACCAATTAAACAATATAGAATGTTTACATTGTACTCTTTAAAATAAGGTGCCACAAAGGTTTTGGCCACAGAAGAACCACGACAAAAAAAAAAAACACACCTTAGAGATTTGTGAGGTTGAAGAACCTTTTAAAGGTTTAAAGAACCATCACGAAATAAGAAGAAATCACTCTTTACAAATTTAAAAGGTCTTCCTAAGAAATGTTCTCCACTCCTTCAGATCACATTTACAAACATGATTCTCTAAAGAATTGACCACTGAAAGGTTCTTTGGGTTCATTGAGTTCATTTGTCCCACTTTAAAACAGGTACAACAAAAAAAAAAACACTGAAATCAGCTGCTACATTTCAGGGTAATCTAGTAGTGAAATTACCAGCAGAGATTAAAATCCAGAGGTTTGAATGTAGCAACACAGATTGGGTTTATTTTTGTTTGGAATATTATGGTCAGTTCCATGTATTTCCATGCCTTGGGAGTGAGAATATATAGAATGATAGAATGATTGTATTGGACTTTCAAGTTCAACCAATCATTTTGAAAAGGGTCTATGTAACCACTTCGTTTCCTGAAGAACCCTAATAGTTATGTAGAGAACCGTGACAACTCAAAGAACCATATGAATGCATAAATGGTGGAAGATCTGATGACAGAAGAAGGAATACCTGCTGTATATGGTTCCTTAAAGAACTTCTAAAAACAGCTGCTATAGCACCAAAAAGGGCTCCGTTATTGTCACGAAACCTTTTCTTTAGTATTATACAGAACCCTTTTCGCTAAAATTGTTCAGCACTAGTGTTGATGTTGCACTATTAAAAATAAAGGGGCCACATGTTCTCTGCATGATGCCATAGAAGAACCACTTTTGGTTCCTTTCAAATACTATACTTGAAAAAGAGGTATGTAAGTATTTCAAGGGTTTAAATAACCTTCACATAATGTAAATGTTCTATACCAATTTAAGGGTTCTAGGTAGAACCTTTACATTCTGTGGATACATGCTGCATTTGCAAAAGTGGTCATTTGAAGTACCCTGCACTGAAACGTTCCTTAGGGAACCAAAGGTGGTTCTACTCTGCATCATGCAAAGAACCTTTCAACCATGTTATTATTGTAATTTTTTAGAAAGGGATTCAAGATTAATGTGCTTGAGAGATGAAAATTTAAACATGTGTGCAAGTATGTGGCCACCAAACGTTTTATTTTTATCTACGTTTTGGGTTAATCATGTGTAAACATGTTTTAAGACTTTAACAATGGGTGAGAGGTGTTCAAATAAAGCTCCTGCATTACATAACAATGATGTTGGTCTTCTCACCTTATCTCTGCCATGCATGCGATCAGGACAGCTACTGCCAGCCCGTGTACCAGCGCAGGCTGCAGTCTGCCGGCCGTCTCCACGTTCTCAATGACCGACACGCAGCCGATGAACACAAAGAAAGTGGTTCCGATTAACTCAGCTATACAGGGTTGGACAATTCTCTCATACTTGTTAGAACCTCTCGCAGCTCCTTTCTTGGGTTTGTCCATCAGCGTCTCCATGTTGTCCAGCTCAAGCTTTTCTTCTGCCATTGTGCTCCAGTAGCAGCAGTAATCAGAGCAACTGTGGGGAAGATAGGTTGTTGTGTCCCCATATCTAGGCTGGGCTTCTGCTAATCATTTGAACTTTGACAGGTTGAGAAAAGCATAAAAAGAAATTGCACCAGTGACCTTTGTGGTTCATTCAGGGAGTGGAAGACCTCCCTAAATGTCTGAGAGAGTTAGGTGCACAGTTTGAAGCATGAAGGTGTTGTTTTAAGTTCTCACCTTTCATATGGTGCTACATTTGTGGTCAAACAGAATTTTATAATTACATTATCAGCACAAAAATTCAAATAAAAAGTAGAATCTATAAAACATACAGTCGTCTGCAAGAGTTTGGGTGCCCCGGTTAAGAAAAATGACTCTGCACTCTACCTTTTACCTTAGAGATGGTTTGTCAAGGGGTCTTTAATAGAGGGAAGGGTTCTATTTGGAACCATGAGTTCTACATAGAACTGTTTCATGTTTAAATTGTTCTTTGCATGGTGAAATGCTTCTTCAGATTAATGGAGAATGTGTTGTATATGGTGCTATATGGCACCAAAAAGTGTTCTATTGTTACAAGCTTGACATTGTAGCAGGATAGCATAATAGCAGAACTCTTTTTGGTTCTATATAGAACAATTTTCAAAAAGATTGAATAAAGAACCATATGCAGCACATTTTCTATCAATCTTTAGAACCATTTCACCATGCAAAGAACCATTTAAACATGCAAATAGTTCTTTGAGTGTTCATGGTTCTATGTAGAACCATTGTCTTTACTAAAGAACCCTTGAAGAACCATCTTTTGTAACAGTGTACAAAAAAAAGCAAAAAAAGACTAGTCAGGGACTTTTAAGAATAAGAAGTTGATGTTTATTGAACACAGAAAAATGAATAATATAAAAAGATGCCTTGAAAATAAATTCATTACATATAATTTACATAATCATATAATATAATCATGAACTTTTGAAGACAGCACTTCTCAATAGAGCTGCTGTAGTTATTCATCCCACACCCAAGAAAACTGTTAAAAAATATATTGTATAAATTCCAGGATTAAACATTACACTGTTGGCAAGCATAAGAGGCATTATACTCTCAAACTCAGATGCATCCAGTACACCAGTTTGATTGTCTACATTTTAAGCTATTAAACATTTAATCTTCATTATATGATATGTGCCTATATAAGCAGATCATTTTTAATATTTACATGTTTTAATAAAATTTGACATCTTCACCCATATTCGAGTTTAATGACATTACACAGTGCTGTGATCAGCTATATGACAGGTGAGGGTACAGGCTAGCTATAAATATAGATATGACTGGTGCAAGTTTGTTATTCTTGAATGTAAAGAAGAAGAAAATTGAGCTGAGTTTTAGCGGCATGTAGCGGTGAGGTTGCAACCAACTGAATATCCCTCCGTTTCCAACTCATGGTGGCTGTCATGTTTTCACTTCTTAAACAACAAGAATTCACAATTTCTTGCCTTTTCTTGTGCTAAATAATAAGTATGACCTTTCATTTGTCAAAATTTGGATTCTCAAACTTCTCATGACACAATATGGTTAGCCAGCACTGGCAGCAATGATTCTTCTTCTTTCTGCGTCTTCCAACCGGTGTTATAACACCACAAAATTCAAGCTGCCACTTCAATATAAAAACACGAAAGGCACTCTCTAGAGCCAGTGTTTGGTTCGTCCGTTCTGGGCTACTTTAGAAATATGGTGACATAACAAGGCGGCCTCTGGAACAGAATCCGTTTCCTAAGCAGATATTAAGGGCTCATTCTAAGCTAACAAAAACACAATGGTTCATAATTTCAGGTGATCATACACTAATGAAAACATGGTTTTGTATACTAGATAGATCCCCCTAAATCATACACACTGCACCTTTAAGCAAAGAAGACAATCTTTAGTTTGTTTAAGGAATGATAAGTATATTTAAGTGTGTCTTGCCACCACAAACTCCCCTAGCCAAGGTCACCAAATGATCTGAAGAAACTGCCACTCAGACGTTCTTCAAACAAGGTGAGTCAGGTCAGAATCAGAGAACACATGCACTAACTTTTCATCACAAGTCATAACAGGAGCAGCTGATGAGTGGAACTCAGTACCAAAAGTCAAAACCTTTTATAGTCAGATTGAATGCTGAAAGAATGGGTGGGTGTGTACAAACAAACATGGAGGCGGATACAGGTATAGAAGGTTATGGAGGGTTCTGATCAATGTTTTTCCTAAATCCATGAAACCTCAACCAACATTGCAATAATAGCAGACTTCAGAGGCAGTTCCATCAGGATTTCAAATTGCTGGGTAATCCCTCAATCTTCAGCAAGATGAAAAGCTGAAAAGACCTCAGACTTGTGCAACGGACTACAGAAGAACAATAGGCCAGCCTTTGCAAAGCTGTTACAGCAAAGGGTGGCTACTTTGTTGAATCTTCATCTATTAATTTTCTTTTACACTGCTTTGATAAGTTTTTGTTTTGCTCTGTGTATTGTAATATTTTCTTTAAGCGTTCTAAAAGATTACATGACGTAAAAAAATTATATTGAAATGAAATGAAATTTATATTGTTGATGATAAATTTTAAACAATAAAATTTTGACAGGTGCTGTATGTCACTGTTACACAATACATTCTGCAACAGTCATGAGAATATATAAAAAACTGAAATGAATGATTGACCATTTGGCAATGATAAAATGCCAATACTATTCACATATTAAGTTTTACTCTTTGACCTCTCCATCATCAGCAGGTCACTTCAGCAGCAGTCTAATCTTCTCATCACCAAGCATCAATCTGGACACAGAAAAGCAACACAGCGTTAAATCCAGTAACGAAGACATGCTGAATATAAAACCAAATGAATCAAACAAATGAATAACAAAATGGTAATACAGTCATTTCAAAGGGCCCATATCATGGAAAATCAAAGGTTTGATGTAGTATGTAAACACTGCTGAAGTTTCAAAACATACTGGTCACTCAAGTCCATACAGTCCATATATAAAAATCTATAAAAAAGACAAGTAAAATGTATATTATGGGCCCTTTAATACTTGAATATGGACTTCATGTAAATAAATACACGGCTGAATAAGTACCTAATGAGAGTTCCAGTGAGCAGTGCTCCAGCCATTGGCCCAACCCAGTAGATCCAGTGATAGGTCCAGTAATGAGCCACTGCTGCTGGCCCAAATGCACGGGCCGGGTTCATACAGGCTCCAGAGATCGCTCCTCTGAAGGACAAAAATGAGCACAATCAGAACAATATCAGTTACCTTTATAAGCATTACAGTTCTTCATTTAATTTGTACCAATTAATAATCGTATAAATTGGTCATAATAGTACAACTAACATTGGTAACATATATGTTTAGTTTAGAATGTCTGATATGTGTTTTAACTTTAACTATACAGTATAGTTAAACAGTATAAGCCTCGTTCCTAGAGTTGAATAAGACCTAAGAAATATGATTTCTTATAGTGAAATACCATTGTCATTGGTAAATGGTAAATGATGGACACACTAAATACTGAAAAAATTATGTTACGTTTAGTTGTTCTGTGAAATTTTCTGTTAAATATGTTTTCTGTTTTTTTCCTGATTCTGAAAACTGAATAATTTACTGGAAATGATATGGATAGTCTTATCCAATACTTACTATAAATGATCAATATTATCAAATTATTGTCATTAATCTCTGAATTTTGCACAGTACTGTATGTTTTATCCTAGGCCTGTATTATAATGGTAAAACTAACCTGGCTTAAGTTAAACACGCTCACACAAATGATTCAATCAACCGCATGTATTTATGCAAAGCATCCCAATTAAAAGTTGATGCCAACCTTCTTTCATGTGCACTTGGCTCAACAGCCAGAACACTAAACTTAAACGATTCTAACAATGTGACCAAAGTTCTTATAAAGCACATACCATAGTGAGGTTCCTCTACCCTACCCTGAGACAAGCATATCATATCAGTATTTCCCCCAGACTTTCAGATAGTACAACGATGATTAGACGAAGAGAGACAGATCAAGGCTGCTTGACTTATGTGAGACAGAAATGTGAGATAGTTAGTGCTGCTTATTATTTCTCACCCTTCACATCCCATTGGAATTTCATTATATCATATTGTATATACAAGTGTATATGTACAGAGTGCAGCGCTGTGGATGTATGAATGCTATATGGGTGTGTAAATCTCAGTGCACCTGTGTGCTATGTGGGTGTAACACTAAACAGTGGCGGGTCAGTATAAACGGCGGGTAAATTTAAAGAGCAAATGATTGGACTCCAAGCTGAATTTAATTGGCTGAGATGGATTTTTTATGAGTCACTCTAATCTTATCATTAATTACATGTTAATTACATAATCTATTACATTATATAACTATTGAGATATTCTGATCTTGTGTTTGATTTTTAATAGCTCGGCCTCTTTATAAATACAGCAAATTGGTGGTGTAAGATAAGTATCACCTAGCTATTGTAAGACCAAAGATGGTAGAATAAGAAGCAGAGGTTTCAGATAGTTTCTTTTCAAAACTATAAAACAACTATAAGACAATTTGAACACAAAAGCTATCAGGGTTGTCCATCATGCTTGACTATGTAAATCTCATAGTAAAGACTGTAGAATGGGTTTAGAACAACTCTAACTTTACTTTGTCTCTCTTCAAAGAAAAAACAAGTATCTCCAAAATGGCAGCTTTACAATAGAAGGCAAAAATACTCTTTACTTTCAATGTAAGTTAATGTAAAAAGATTTTCTTCCAAGCAACTTTGGAGCACTTCTGTTGATTCATTCATCATGTTATTTTCACACGATGAAAAGGGCAGCTGCTTGTTCAAATGCAGATTAAAAAATGTGAAAAAACATCACATTTCAAAAAATCAGACATACTTGTTTTTCTTTGGATCACATACTAACACATTATTTGTGCATTAGCATCATTACTCAATGCAAAGGTATCCCTGACAGTTATGATACAATTAGTTGCATTGATATGTGATGAAGCTTATCCAATTTTTTCTACCATAAGTTAACCCCTTTTTTAAACCCAATTTCCTCCCTAATTTACTTGTGCCCATTTCCACCCACCAAGTAGGTCTCCTCTATTATACAACACATCCAACTAGGAGGGTGAAGGCTAGCACATGCTGCCTTTGAGACACATGAAGCCAGCCACAGCATCTTTTCACACTGCTGCATTGGACAGCTCAACACGCTTGAAGGAGAACATTAACTGCCAACTCTGTTGTGTCAGCTGTTGCATCAGATGACCAGTGAGTGAGAGGGACTTGCTCTCTCTGAGCCTGTTTTGACACTTTTTTTTTAAGCATGCCCTCTCCCACTTTGATTCATGTGCATTACCCAAGTGGCCATTTGCAGGGGAAGAAGAAGAAGAAGAAGGGTTTTTCAATCAGAATGCCCTTACTGTTTGCTAGATTAGCCACAGAGATATATAGCAAGCTATGCTCACTTCGTAATACAAAATATTTATTTTGAGAAGTTTGAATATAAGTGATAAATTCTGTGAATAATTGTTGTGTCTACCCTGCTAGAACAACCAGAGTCATATTCTGCTATTGTATTTTTTTATGAAATTGTACACGTCAAGGCAAGTTAAAGTTTATTTATATAACACTTTTTACAACAGAAGTTGTCACAAAGCAGCTTTACAGAAAAAAAATCCAGGTCCGAGCCCCCATTATTAAGCCAATGGTGACGTTGGCTTGGAAAAACTCCCTGAGAGTAAGAAGAAGAAACTTTGAAAGGAACCAAGACTCAAAAGGGGGGAGCAATCCTCCTCTGGTCAACACTGGATAGCAAATAATACATGTTCTGTTATTGTAAGAGGATCTGACATAGATGTTTTGTGAAAACATTCTCAATAATTGCTACCATTATTGACCTGTAGAGGATCCCACAGGCATATTTTCCTGTTTTTCCATAATGTAATGACATTCCTTTAAACAATTATTCATTAAGGTACATCTAAAGTTACATTAAGCACTCAATTTACTTTTCAAATATAAGCTGTAACATATGGAAGATTAGCTGCTACACCATTGCACATTTTCTAAGAGGGCTGTTTTGCATGCTGAATTCCTGCACACTGCTGTGCAATGATATACAAAATGGTATATAATATGTACTGAATTGCATTTCTCTTTTGCTTTATTAAATATGCATGTGTCATATATTCCTTTAACATGAACCCTTGTTCTTGGGTGAGTGCATTGCTCCCTATCATATTTTTCTTGCAAAATCCAGTTTACTCTGGAAAGCTTGCCCAGCATGTAGCGTGCAAATAATTTATCTTTTCTATATCAGGCAAATAATGCAAAGCGTGTCATGCACAGTTTAACCAGTGAGAGAGATAGGAGAGGCAGAAGGAGCTACCACGATGCAGGTAAATTTCTATTATGCAACATTGTTAAACAACGCAGATACATTAGGATAAGTGTTACTGATTAGGTCAAATTTTATACCACAGTTGGACGCGAGTGTGTGCGAGTAGGTGAGCGTGTATCTGTGTGCTTGTGCTATGTGTTCTTGTTCTTCATGGGCTCTATGCGTCGTTAACATATGTGCACCTGTGCTTCACTGATAGTCATATCTATTGCCTTACAGATATAGATTTACTATTATAATAGCAGTCTGATATTGTGTTGGTTAAGTACAGGAGTATGATAATGGTGGAAACAACATATTGGCAGCAGTTCTTGGATCATCGTTTGTATTATGGATTGCAATGACAGACTTTTAGGAGTGTCCATCTCTGACCTTACGACAATGCTATTAAAGTATGATTCTTATGGAAATGATTTAAATGGGAACAAAATGAATTGTGGAAAAGTTTCTTTAGGGATCTTCAGGATTTCTTCATGAAATGTGGGATCTCAAATTATACTACGATTCTATTTGATTATTTTGGTCTACTTTTTATCTGTTGAATGCTATTATTTTTTTAAAAAATGGCTGGAGAAACAAATAATCCAGTAATGAAATATAGAAAATGATCTGTTGTTTTTTTAATGTTATTTTTTAAATAGTTTGCTGCAAAGGTTTTGCTTACTTCAAAAAGCAGGGCTGCCTAAATTATATATATATATACATATATACATACATATATATATATATATATATATATATATATATATATATATATATATATATATATATATATAACTGTGCATTAACATTGATATATATAACTGTGCATTAACATTTGCAACAAAATGTTATTTTTTAATACTTTTCTCTTCTAAACTGAAAAAATATATAATTTGGCCAGGGGTGCACAAGCTTTGCACACAATTGCACAATTGTTTAAAAAAATATATATATTAATATAGACTTGCAGTGATAGGAAACTAGAGATCTTGGCATTTGACATCTCCAGCAATGGGTTAGAGTTTGTTCAGACTTGCCTGAAAGAAATATTTTATCTCAAGTCCATCACATCCAAATAAAACAATACTTCCACCACAGCCCAGATAAAGCTTTCAAAGGGAAAAGCACCACGTCATTCTGGAACAGGTTGATTTCGTGCATGAAAAAATGGCCATGTCACAGTTAACTCATCACCATTGTGGTTAAAATGGGCATGTTGTTCTTTTGTACCTACATACAAACACACAAACACCTGGCACAAAAGGCTTTGATTCTATCAGCCTCACAGGCCTACACCCGCTGATAGCTTTGTACCCCGAGGGCTGTGACCCTATCAGCTGTGCGTGCCTACTGCTCACTGATAGCATTGTCCATTTGTTCTGCTGAGGCCAGTGCAGCTGCTGTAGCTGAAATGTACAGAAAAATAACGATGGTCAGAGACTCGCTGACAGGCTTGCCCCCTTAGAGCTTGTATTTTGGTATGCTTAGTGGTCCATTCACACTGGAGAAAATAATAGAGGCTAAAGTTGTAGTTGTTGTAGTAAAGTTAGTGGTTAATGTTCTACATTCTTAAAAATGAAGATAAAGGTTCCTAACTTGTTTTTGGCTTACACATTCAGTTTGATGGAAAACCTTTAATTGAAATAGAACCTTTACATCACGCTCTAAAAAAGTTTTAGCATTGTCATGGAAGAACCACTTTTGGTTCCCTAAGGAACCAGGTTTGAAAAAGAGATGAGTACAAAGAACCTTTCAAATGTACACAAAATGTTAAAGTTCTATACCAATTTCAGGGCACTTCCTAGAACCTTTGCATTAGGTGAAGGTTCCTTGAACTTCAGAAAGATTCTTCACATTCACATATATTATTTACAACAGGTTCTTCATGCCCTTAAATGGCCAGGGCCTTCTGACAGGCCCAAAGGTTTATTAGACACTATTATTACCTAAGAATAGCTCAGCCAGTTTGCATTAAAGTCCCTGTTGTTACTGAATAATAAGCCTTAGTATGTAACAAGCCTGAGATTTTAGGGGGTTAAAGATCCATCCATTGAAAGGTTCTTTAGAGAACTAAAAGTGGTTCTTCTATGGTATCACACAAGGAATGCTTTATGGCACCTTTATTTTTAGGAGTATATGTAAGAGGTTTTTAAAGCATAGATAAAATTCTTCACAGTCATACAACTTATTTACAAACATGTTTGATAACGCTTTATTTAAAAAAAGTCCACTGTAGACGCTTAATAGATGGTTACTTTGTCTTAGTACTTAGTAACTAAGTGCGTGTTTAGTTCAATATACTTTTCCCTGACCCTAAACCTGTCTTTAACTCTGACCCTAACCTTTAACCGCAACCTAAAGAGAAAACCTCAATCTTGGTGAAATGAAACGAGTTCTTCTATGGTATCAGTCCAAAGAACGTTTTTAGTCACCTTTATTTTTAAGTGTGTTAACTGAGCTTGCTGAAACTATTTCCTGACTGCTTGCCTGCTGGGCATCTGTGCACTGATGGTGTGAGAGATAAAGGAGAAAATGAAGTTAGCACTGAACTGCTCATTGTTAATCTGATGAATTTTAGCAGCTTTAGAGACTGAAGAAACCATTTAGTCACTGCTGCTTAGCCGTTTCCACACAATAAACACATTAACTCAAATTTATGACTTGTTTATGTGTTTAAAAATGCTGTAAATGAACAGCCACTGATGGGACTGTAAAGTGGCAAATATTACTTGCTTAACACTCTTCAGTGTCTCAAAAACATGATCTTATCTTAAAGACGTCATGATCTTAAAGAACTGAAACAACATAGGTGAAAATGAAGTTACACTGGCAGTGCTAAGGTGCCTTGGGTCCAGCAGGGGGCGCTATATGTGAGGTGTAAAAATCATGATGCATTGTTCCGAAGATGGCGCTTCAGTGGCATCAATTTTAGAATGTTTGAATTGATTATAATAGATTATACCAATATTCAGTAAAGTGTATGCTCATTTTTTGGTTAGAATAAAATTATCTGGCCCAAATGTAAAACTAAAAAAGCTTATAGCAGGGGTGTCCAAACTTTTTTCAAAGATGGCCAGATCGTACCTTGTCAAAATAGCTGAGGCGTGAAATATTTTTTTCAAATGATTTAAAATATTACAATTTCAAAATATCAGTGCATAGAATCTAAGATTTCTCTTAGCTACTGTGTTTCCTATCACTGTGTAAAACATGCACAAGGCTTCTTTTGTTGTTGGATTGCTCAGAGCTATTTGAATAGGTAAGTGTTTATAACATATTATTAAATTGTTTGAGTAACAATAAAACATGTCTATTATGTTAATTATACTCATTTTCAAGTGTTTACTTGTTCATAAATATGATTTGTGAGACAAACTAAATACAAATCTATACACTTTTGGTTTTGTTAGATAATGTTCTTTACATATTGAACAAATGTAGCAACTGCATTCAGAAATCACTTCATTAAACAAGAAGAGCAGATTAAACAGCACAAATAGCCATTTTTGTTCCACCTTAAAGGCTTAATAATTACTGAACTACTGAATTTGCTCTGATAAGAAGTAAGACTCATTTCGCTTGCAGTTGTTTTAGTTTCTCTGCCCTTCCTGAATATTTACTGTAACACCTATGCTTTGTTTTAAGTCTATTGATGTAAAATTCATGACAGTCTTTTGATGTACGAGGCTCACATGTTTTCTTTGGCTCTTGATGGAAAAAGTGTTCAAATTTCCATCTTGCCTAAATCATCAGTTCTCAGTGTTAAGTTTGTGCTTTATGACTGTATTGGTTAATTGTGCTGACTAAATTATCTTTCCATAAATTAAACCGCAGGTCTATTTATAGTAGAAAGGCTCTTAAGCTTTAGCTAACTTTGTTAACACAGCGGTGCATTACACTGTAATTTTATGGTGCTGCCACCATCAGATTTAAGTCATGTGGCTGCTTTGCCAAAACACTAAAAAAAAGTCAAACTATCAACAACTGTGTAGGTCAGGAGAGACATCAGAGCTGACAACAGGAACAGACGTAAGAACAAACATCCTACAAGGTGAACTGACCCCAAACAAAGCTCAGTGGAACTCAAGGAAGTTAATCACTGCATAAATAAATCAAGTAGTCGGAGAGCCAGGCCTACAATCAGGCAGTTAGACAGTGTATCTCTGAATAATGCTTTAGTTTACTATGTTTTAATGTGCTTGTAGGCTATATAATCATAGTTACACTGGCACTGTGTCTGTCTATCTATCTATCTATCTATCTATCTATCTATCTATCTATCTATCTATCTATCTGCTTAGTTAGCTAGGCATAGTATATGTGTAATCATCTCACACTTACCCTGCTAGGACATCAGCTGTAATGGTCAGTCCAATGCAGAATGGGGCCAGTAAGGTACGTGTCTTGCCGTTCACTGCCCCCATACACACCGACATGGTCAGGAACAGCGTCATCACCACCTCAGCTACAATAGCGGGACCGACCTGATCTCTGTCTTTCACTGTGTTAAACGCACCACCGGATGTGTTAAAGTAATTGCTGGGAGGAGAAATAACCTGAGAGAAGAGAAAGTATTAAAGGTGACATTACTACATTTAGTCCTGTTACCACTTAAAGCAGAACAGAAGTTATATCTGTATTTTTGCACAAAATGGTCAAAATCTCTGTAAAATCTGTCTGTAGTTCCACAATCTCCTCAGTTTCCTATCTAACGTGATAACATGCCGCACAGTGTGTGTGTGCACAGGACGAACAAATATGTGATAAAATACAGATAAGCCGAGACGCTCTGAGATAAAGTGTCTGCTGTGGTAATGTAATGTGTTTTGACATTTCAGCTTTTGTGAGTTACAAAGCCAGCTAAATAATAAAAACGACGCTACCCACTTTGGCCAGACTTGCTCCGATGAGTCCTCCACATAGTTGTGCTGTTATATAAGGCAACAGCAGGATGACATTGAGACCCCCAATGAGGCAGACAGACACAGACACAGCAGGGTTGAAGTGGCCTCCACTAAAGGGGAGAACTTTGTATAAGTTATAATGTCATTTCTTTTCTTGGAACGTGGGACAGCAGTTAACAGAATATATAAACACATATATACCTGCATATGCACACATATACACCAGTCAGCCATAACATTAAACCACCTTCTTGTTTCTGCACTTATTGTCCATTTTATCAGCTCCACTTATCATATAGGTGCACTCGTAGTTCTACAAATACAGACTGCAGTGCAGTGTCTCTGCATTCTCTACGACACTGACATGATGGTGGTGTGTTAGCATGTGTTAGCCCCCTTTTAACTTGTTCTTCAGTGGTCAGGACCCCTACAGTACCAACACAGAGCAGGCATTATTTAGGTGGTAGTTCATTTTCAGCACAGCAGCGACACTGACATGATGGTGGTGTGTTAGCATGTGTTGTGCCGGTATAAGTGGATCAGACACAGCAGTGATACTGGAGTTTTTAAACACCTCAGTGTCACTGCTGGACTGAGAATAGTCCACCAACCAAAAATATCCAGCCAGCAGTGTTCTGTGGGCAGCATCTTGTGGCCACTGATGAAGGACTAGAGGATGACCAACACAAACTGTGCAGCAACACATAGTGTCTGGCTTTACATCTACAAGGTAGGAGTGTCTAATAGAGTGGACAGTGAGTGGACACATGCTCATGAGCAAAACTCCATCAGCACTGCTGTGTCTGATCTACTCGTACCAGCAGAACACACACTAACATACCACCACCACGTCAGTGTCACTGCAGTGCTGAGAATGATCCACCACCCAAATAATACCTGCTCTGTGGTTGTCCGGTGGTGGTCCTGACCATTAAATAACAGGTCTAAAACAGTATGCAGGGCTAAAACAGTATGCAGAGAAACAGATGGACTACAATCTGTAATTGCAGTGCTACTGTAGAACCTACCTCTATGGTAGGTGGAGCTGATAAAATGGACAATAAGTGTACATAATGAGTGTAGATAACGCACAATTGCTGTTTACCATATCAGAAAACAATTAAACAGAAAATGTGGCCTGTGCAAAAGGTTTTATATTTTATGTCATATATGATTTATTTGGGCAGTATCCCTTTATTTGCTTGGTTATCCTTAGTGAAAGCAAGAGTATTTGTAGTTATCATGCAATACCTAGTTAATCTAATCAGTCCTTCATTAAATTAAATCACATGGTATTTGTCAAATCCATGTGATGGCTGGAACCAGACCTCTAAACAGCTCAAAAGACATCAACTACTTTTTTTAAAAACAAGAAATTCTTCTTACTTTTTACTGATTTAAAGTTTATTTGTGTTTATTTTAAAGTTAAAATGTGTTTTTATAGGCAAAAATGCAGTAACAAGATAATTGGTTTTAAGCAATTTGGCTTACGTAAGTCTTTTGCAATGCTTGTCTCTGTTGTAAACCTTTATTTTTTAATTAATTTATTTAGTTTTTGTTCATATGTTTCATTTTATGATGAATGGATCAACAGAAATGTTTTAAAATTACTTGAAATAACATTTTGTTACACTAATACACACTGAACTTTAGAACATTGGGCCTCATTCACCAATATCCCCCTAAGTTTTTTCTTAAATTTGTTCTTGAGAAAGGTCCTAAGAGTCTGCGTCAGTAACGTGTCCTTAAACCACAGAATTGTTCGCACTTTTGTGCTCTTCAGTGCGTGTAGATTCTGTTTTTACCCAAGAACAAATCCCAAATAAGAAAACGTTAGTAAATGTCAGAATTTTCATTAAACTGCATGAGTGGTTTTTAGGAAGAAATGCTTTAAGAATGGTTGGTAAATGAGGCCCAATATTTCCTTTTCCTATATATACTTTTTGAAAGTATGAGGTTTTGTTACAACAGTTGATACAAATCTTTATATTGATACTAATCTTTGCAAATGTAACCTAAATCTGAGGTGAGTCATGCAATATTAATTTTGAAATGAATACAGTCCTCTTCTGTTTTCCTAATAAGAACTGAGTGAAAAATCAATGATAAACATCAGTGATCAGTAATTTGGTGGATATCATTAAAAGTCAATAGCATGCACCCTAACACTCACATCTCACCTTAGAAGTATTTAAGCCAATCTCATGCCATACCTGATCTCTCCAAACAACGCAATGACAATGCCCAAGGCCAGGCCGTGTGCTAGAGCAGGCTGCAGGCTCCCAGTGTCCAGTGGATTCTCTATGACAGACATGCAGCCGGTGAAGATGAAAAGTGTTGAGCCCACCAGCTCGGCCAGCCAGGGCTGGACGTAGAGCTGGAACACACTGACTGCCCGGTGGACCTTGGTCTCCTCCTCCACTGACTCTGTGATGGACAGGCTACGTGAGTTCCACATCCATAGCTCTGTCTTGGATATGGGCTTTGTGTCGGGTGTGTTCATGGTGGCTGTAGAGGGATGGAGTTTGCAGTGCAGATAAGCAGGGCCACACAGGCCTGATAAAATGTTAGAAAGGAGGAGGAGAGAGGGAGGAACCATCTTCTATGCTGGGGTTCATGCTGATTGGTTTGTAGATTTTTAGTCCTGTTAAGTCATCTATCAGAGTAAAATGCATAATAAATGTACACATCTTGCTGTTAAATAATACTGGGGTGGACAAAATAACAGAAACACCACATGAAAATGTGGACTTAAACCATTAAACTTCAAAGAACCCATGCAGTTGTTTGCAATTTGAACAAAAAATGACATGTTTAGTTGATTTTCTGAGTGAAAATAAGTTAACACATCCTCTACAGAGACCACATTTATATATTTTTCTGCTAATTTTAGAGCACAATTTCTATTTATTTGCTGAGTTTAAGACATAAAACATAAACTATAAAATATGCTTTTTTTTGCAAAGGCCACATTTTTTTCTCAATATGTTAAATTCAGCAAACAAACAGTAATTATGCATTAAAATGTGTTGAAGTGTGTTCTCTCTAGAGGATGTTAACCTATTTTCACTTAGAAAATCAACAAAATGTCATTTGACTAGGGGTGCCCAAACATTTGACTGTATATAGGTTCACATTTTTATAACTACGTAACATGTTAGTTAGTTATGTAATAGTTGCCAAATACTTCAAAGCAGTTGTGGTGCAAAATAAGACTCAAGGTTAATAACTAAACAATAAGCCTGAAGTTAAAGTTAATAAATCACACTTACAAAGGCAGCTTTGCAGCTGAGTCATGTTAGATTCAATAGCAATTAGCAGTATGTGTTAGCTATAAAAGAAAGCACTTTCAATAAGCACTTTGATATGGAAGCATTCAAGGCCATCATGACAACATATACCAAATATAAACGTTGCATAGTCAACAAAACCATAGCAGTTGTTAAATACAAATATATTTATAACATAGTTATTGGTAAACTCCTTGGTTAAAAACAGTTGCATGGCAAAGAGAGCATATAACAAACATAACTCAAGACAACTATGAACTGAAACTAAGAGCTTGACATAGGCTACAGACAATAGGGAACACCAGGGAGAGGGAGAAGACAGGGACTACAAACAGGTGAGAATCCTAATAGGGAAGGTGAGGAACAGGACAGAACAAAGGAAACAAAACAAAAGCATGAGCACATGACTAAAAAGCACATGGCCACTACCCAAGGGAAGAAAAAGAAGGTCTTTGATCATGCTGACGAATAAAAATCGGCCAGAAGAATCACTTTGGATCCGGCTTCTGACCTGGAAAATCAATTGTGGAAATTTGTTGGAAGGGGCAAATTGAGGTTAAGATCGGGCTAAAAATCACGTAATGAAGGCCCAGCTTTAGTCGTTCATCAGCAGGGAAAGAGAATACATAAATGAAATGAGACAAACGTGTTGAATTCCATAAATCAGGAAATATCTATAAAAAATCCTACACAAAATGGTCATATCCACTGTTAGAGCAATAAATTATAACCCCTTTAAATCCCAGGCTTATTATATAAGGCTGATTATTCAATAACAACAAGGACTTCAATGCAAACGAGCCAAGCTATTCTTGGGTTATAGCAGTGCGCAATAAAACTTTGGTCAGGTGGGCCCTGGTCATTTAAGGGGTTAAAACAACCAGAACTGTGGAGGCAAACATTTGTCCAAGGATTGCAGTTGGAGATTTGCAGAGGATGGTAGCATTATGGAGTGCCCAAAACTACAATTACATGCCACCTCCATGCCAACAACCTATTTGGAAGACATGCCAGAAGAAAGCCTTTTATTCCATTTAACCACAAATATAAGTGCCTGGTGCTGGCTGTGCACTATTGGAACTTTGACTAGAATCATGTTCTATGGTCAGATGAAACAAAAATAGAGCTTTTTTACAACAAATATTTAAGGTGGGTTTGGCATAAAAAGAAGAATGATCATAGAGAAAAGAACCTCATGTCCACCGTTGAGTATAGTGGAGGATCTGTGATCTTTTGGGGCTTTTTTGCACCAAGGTCCTGGAACATTGCTAAGATACATGGCATTACAGACTTCATGAAGTGCCATTAAATTTTTAATGAACATCTGTCCATCTCTGTCAAAATGCTACAACTGGGCTGCTGTTGGATCTTCCAGCTGGGCCGTGATCCAAACCCTACATTCAAATCCACACAGAAATGGTTGAATAACCCCAGAGTCAAGCTTTTGACATGTTCATCCCAGTCCCCTGACCTAAACTCCACTGAAAACCTGTGAGGTGACCTGAGGAGGAAAGTCCAAAAGAGAGGACCCAGGAGAGATTCTGGTCTCAGATTCTGTGCTCTGCATGCTCCAATATCATCAGGCATTATAAGAGAAGATTCATTGATATTACATTGGCAAAGAGACCGTGCAGACTATATTAAATGCAGATGTGTCAATAACTGTAATGTAGTGTGAAATGAAAACGTTCTAAATGCAGTTTATATTAAGAGATTTTTAACTTGACATATATTGTTGTGTTCCAGTTATTTTGTCTACCTGTATTATGATGAAAAAGTAAATTAATATGGAATTTCATAACAAAACTAGGCACAATGTGATCCAAATATCTAATTATAACAATAATTAATACTGACATGCAAGTCAGATATAAATACTTACCAAGAATGACCAAAGTTGGCCAGTATGGCTGCAGCACAGAGTTAATCAAGTGCAGTTCTATAAATCTGTTTCTGCACACAATAATGATTACATAGCAAGCTATTTGAAATAACATCCACAGAAGAGCATTGGTGAAGTCTTATACATTCTTAATGCATTTGCACTCTTGTTTGTAGCCCTGAATGGCCTTTATTACCGCTGGATTTATTCATCACACAAACAGAAGGCTGTGGATGAAACAACATAGGTGAGTAACAGAAGGTGATTAAAGACTGCTGTTGAAGGAAAAGGTGTTTGAACTTTTTATAAAACAGCAATGTTTTGATGCTGTATTTCTGAGAGACGGCACGATTCTCTCTGCTCTGAAGACCCCCCTCCCTCCCCCAATTTACTGCTCAAACAACGACATGACCCACATTTCTGAAATAATGGATGTTTCTGTGTATGTATGCTTTTAACATGTACTCAGGTGTACTTTTTTTGGGGGGGGTGCTGACTTTTGTTATCATTAGACCTGGATAAGATATCTTTGCTAAACTTATTTGCCATATTTAACACTTATCAGATCTTGCATATGTCATTTGTAGCATTATCAATCCATATTACGTATTAACTTTGAACAAACAGAATAGTGGATGTACGACTGCAGGCTTTGGCTAATCATGTGGATTTGCTTTTGGAAGGAGACTGTTTGATTTTCCGACTGTTTGCTTAAACTTTCTGGTTGTGTGTAATATTTGGAGTATGATGTATAACCTTAGCACCGCTAATCTTGGTTTAATCAGGAATAACTTTGAATGACTGCTTCTTTCTGTCAGTTGAATGTTCTTGTAAACCTGTGAACAGACAGCTGAAATAGGGATGAGCATTATGGTGATATGTTATCGTCACCACGATAAATGATGTCATAGCATGATTTCTGAGCATATTATGCGTATTGTCACTGCTTCTACAATACTGCTTACATCATTACATAAACAACAAAAATCAGTGTACTAGTAGTAGTAGTGCTTTGGTAACACTTTTTAAGGGAATACATATTTAAGATGTTGTTCCTCATTCAATTAAGCTAGGCCCTTCTAAATGGTTTGCCCACTATGCATAGCACTGTGCACAAAGCTTTAATCATTATGAACTGTATTAGTACACAATGGGAGGGCAATGGTTAGAATGAACTTATCATCTAAATTCACATATTATTAGTGTTTAATATATGGAAATTGTCATGATACACAGGTTACAATTTAATATATAGTGATATATTGCGATACTGTAAGCAAGGCAAGGGTGATTTTTTAAAATCTAATTTTAAGAAAACTGTCATAGTATAAAAAACACATATGAAATGCTATCAAAATGAACCGCTGTCTGCCACAAATAACTGTTAATCAAAAATTGATACTGCCTTTGTGAAAATCAACATTATAACAAAATATAATATTTCACCCCTAGTGTATGTATATATATATATATATATATATATATATATATATATATATATATATATATATATATAAATAAATAAAACATATAATGTTGCATACATTTTCCACAGGTCACATTTTGTTTTTTTTTTCCACCCAATATGTTAAATTCAAAGTTGTATTCACATACAAAGTAATTATATTGAAAACTCTTCCATATAGGAGTTCAATCTATCTGTGCTTGTTAAAATGGGTTGAAACTTAAAATACACCCAGTTTGTATGTTTTTGGCAAACAAAAATAAAATGCTGTAATGAATAAAGCTTACTGCACAGTGAATAAACAATATACAAGTGTCTAATTTGGGCTTTATTGAATAAGCATATGTTCCTTAAAATAAAGTGTTAGCAGTTACTGTATAGACTGCAAGTAGTTGGATGATTGGATGTCAGTTCACTATGGCCTTTTCAATAATGTATGACTGTACTTCTACAAATTGTTTAAATTTTCATGTTCTTTCTTAAAGAGGTCATTTTCGTGAAGGTTGAATAATAAAAAACAAAGCTCCTCGGCATTGTGGAGAAGTGGAACTGTGTTCACCGAAGTGATAGTGCACCATCCAGTACCTCTGGGATGAGCTGGAGTGGCGTTTGTGATCCAGAACTAATGATTTAACATCGGTCTCTGACCTCACTAACGCTGTTGTGGCTGAATGCAATCAAATCCTCACAGCAATGTTCCAGCATCTTGTTTAAATCCTTTCCAGAAGAGCAGAGGCTGTGGCTGCAGTAAAGGAGACAAACTCCCTATTACCCTTGATTTTAGAAGAAGCATTGGATGAGCAGGTGTCTACAAACTTTTGGACATGCAGCGGATGTCTTGCCTAATGAAATTAACCTTTATGGATGATCACAGGTCATTCGAGTACTTACTGTTTTATAAGATACACTCTTAAACATAAACATGCCAAATGGAACTAAAAAGGGCTTTTTAGAGCAAAACTATAAAAGAACCACTTTTGCTTCCTTAAAGAAACTTTCAATGGATGGTTCTTTAAGGGTATTTGTGAAAGAGATGTGTGAGGGTGATGAACCTTTTTAGAATATAAGAAACATCTGCATAATATAAGGGCTCTACATCAATTAAAGATTCTTATGGCCACACCTCCAAGCCAAGAACCTTTATTTCTAATAGTGTAGCTTTCTTGTCTGAGTGAACATGTGTCTTGTTCAAAGAGCTTTACAAAAACATTGAGAAACCTCTTTAATTCAACTGCCAGGAAAACCTACGTATTAATGGTTAACTCAGGATGGTTGAAAAGATTTAAGGGCAGATTGCAAAACTCCTCAAGGTTAAGTGACCTTCAGGTTCAAGGTTCTGCCACGAGAGGCACAAATGGAAACTGGAAGCAACCAAAGGAAGCCTTGTTCTAAAAGTTCATTCAAGTTAGGCAACTTGAATTGCTCAAATGCATCAAGCTTTTCAAAATTAGACACAATGAAACAGTGCCACAAAGTATCGTATTGCTCTAATGCAGGGGTGTCCAACCTTATCCGCAAAGGGCCAGTGTGGGTGCAGGTTTTCATCCCAAACAAAACAGAGCACACCTGCTTCCACTTGTTGAATCAGTCAGTCTCAGTCTCAACTGATCATGTGTGCTTCTGCTTTGTTGGAGTGAAAACCTACAGCCACACCAGCCCTTTGCGGATAAGATTGGACACCCCCGCTCTAATGCTTTTGTCCTCAGATCCTCTCACAAGTCTGAAGGAACGAAAACGGCCACCAGGTGGCAGCAAACTACATTCTATTTATTATGCAGTGAGAACATTTGTACTGTGGTTTATTTGCATGTCATGCGTGAGCAGCACACACTAAATGTAGTGTAGAATATTTTGAATATGCAAAATATCAAGCATTTAATTTTTTTCCCCAAATGTCCACAAACACTACCTGAAACACACATCATATTTCCTGAACATACAAGGTTGATCATATTCCCCACAGACACACTTAAACTAGAGAAATCAGGATAATGTACTCAAATAAAAGTCTATGCAAGAGACTTTGATACTCAATCTTGGCTCTATTCTTTGCCCAGTTCAGTTTTCAGATCTTCTCGACCTTATGTCTTCCTTTTCAAGCCAAAAGTGTAACAGAACCATGAACTGCAATCTGCAAGCAGAAAATGCACCAGATGTGTTAGAGGTATGATTTATAGCTCTGAGAAATGAGCTACAGGTTTGATAACTCTTCTAGTTTTACAGTCTAAACATTTGGAAGGGAAAAGAAACTGTGATGGAGTCCAGACACAATGACACAATATGTTTCCTCAGTGGATGAAACCCAAATGGGTCTCTATTAGATATATGTGCACTTTTTGGCCATAACACCATACAATTAAAGACTTTACTCTGGCTTCACTGTTTTACATTTAAAAAGTAACTTTCAGGGCCTGAAACATTACACAACATAAAACATTGTACCATATCAGTACATGCGGTTCCATTTCTACTTGAAACCTGTGGAGTGCACTAGAGAGTATGAGGCCATTTGAGATTCACATTTATTATTTTTCTTCCGTTGGATTACAAACCCCTCTTAATATGATGTCATACAGGTATTGTACAACGTTGTAAGTCACATTCAATTATGCAGTATTACTAGGCAAAACATTGCCATGGATTGTGCAGTAGGTTATTGGCAGCTTAGTTGCCAGTAAAGTATTGATAATATACAATACTAAACTGTATGATACTTCACTGTAATTTTACAGATTTTGAATGACTAACTATATGTCTACAGTAACACTAGATATTTAGACAGCTAAAAAGTACAGAAAATGTAAAACCACAGTAAACTAGACATTTAATTGAAATTATATCAAATTCTTGTTATTGCTGTAAAGGTCAAGTCAGTTAACAGTATTTTACTGCACACAAATACAAGTGATATTTACTCACTAGTGTGAGGTACTTTGGTGCAAGCAGTGCACTCTGGGCTACATAGGAAGCCCATGCAACACTGACTAGACCTTTGGGGGCTACACTGTACAAATATAGAAACTATAACGCTGGCCACAAAAAAAAGTTTACTGCTTCCGTCTCTTATGTGTAAACCAGCAAAGCCATACTAATTTACTTCATGGTTATTGTGCCACTATTATACCTAATGCGCTTAAACTTTATATACACAAGACCCACATCATAGAAATTTTCCAGTTTCTAACCATACCACACTGAAAAATAGGTTGCTTAAAGGTTGCTTTATATTTACTTGATTCAAATGTGTACAGTGGCTTAACATAAATGAAACATGTTACATCAAAAGAATTACTATGTGTAAGTACTTAATCAATTTAAGTTGATGTAACGTACTTTATTTATGTAGAACCAATGTAAATGCATTTCCAATGAAAAATTCAGCAACTTTTTTTCATTGTGATAACCCCATGCCTATATGGTTTATATATGGAAATTAAGCTGCAAAAACAGCCTGTCAAGAAAAACAACATGTTTATATTACATATATACACCTATTCCACCTAGTTTAGCTCTGCCTATTCACACTGAAGTTATAAGCAATGTTTCTGCCCAAACTTATTTCTGAGTCAGGCACAATACAGGACAGCCAATCAGAACAGAGCCCATTTAGCTAATTAGTCATAAAGCCACAGTGTTAAAAACAGTCTGCTTAATTCTAAGGAATAAAGAGATGTGGGAAGATGGATTATGACTGTTTGGTACATAAAACCACACAAAGGTTATATTTGAATCTCATGAAAAAAACAGAATACAAGAAACCACTCAATCTTGAATTTTTTGCAGTGAATTTGTATCATTTTAAATAACGTGCTTAGCTTTTCCATTTTACTTTTGTAGAAATGTTAGGACATATTATTCAGTGCATTATTTATGTCAGGAAATACAACACATTTACATATATCTGCATATTCAAGACATTTACACTGAAGTTATAAGGAATGATTCCGTCATAGACTGCCAAGACTGAGGCCATGGGCACCATCATTTTTGCAAATTTAGCTTTAGCTTTCCAATTTTACTTTTAAACAATACAGTAAACTTAAGAAAGCACATTAGCAATAGGATTACACTGTATTGTACTGTAAACCTCTGTTGAATTGCAGCATGTTTTATAGTGTATATCTAACAGTGCAAAGTTTGTGAATTAGTGTAACAGTTCCGCTTGAGAAAGGTGTCGTTGTGGCCCTGCCCACCACACAGCAGCAGCTCACTTACAGCAGGGAAGGGAGCAGCACTTCCTACTTCAAGCACCATTCTTCAAGCACTGTTAGAGGGCCTGAGAGGAATGGAGTAGAGAAAAACCGAGAGGAGAGCTTTCGTTGCAGCCACTTTAGCCTCTTCTCAGCTCGTGGACTCGGTCCGGGGAATGAGCGTCGAGGGAGAGAGCAGCTCGGACTGGAAGCTCGACACGGTGCAGTGGGCCACAATGGCAGCGGCATGAGGGATTTTACAGGGGGCCTCGAAACTTCTGAAAGTTGGACACCGCGCGAAAAAGCGTCGAGATGAAGAAGCAGTTCAACCGTATGAAACAGCTCGCCAACCAGACGGTTGGAAGGTGAGTGCTTCCGGGAGAGAAAACTGTTTTGGCTAGGAGCAGCTTTACAGAAAGCATTCACTCTGCTGGGAGTGCCTGTCTGTGTAGCCTGTGTAAGTTCATGAGAACCGCCCATGTAGTGCTTTCTGTGGTAACTAAAAGTGTTCTGTGTATTTTACCTTAAACCCGTTTTATCTGACCGAGGGCGTGCAGAGTCAGCCAGTGTGGAAGAATGTAATGCATGGAGCCCATCTATAGCCTGAAGATGAGGTGTGGTCTAGTTTGCTGTAGCTAATGCAGGTTGCAGATGCAGGCCTGCTGTATGTTTCTGTGAGTGAGTTAGACCTCACATCACCAGAAATGGAGGCTTAAAGGGACTAGAAGTTAAGGCAGACTGACAAAATTGGCCTACTACGAGATATTAAGTGTAAAAAAACAATAATTACAAGCACAGTAGTTTTGGGAGCCTTGAAACTATAGTAAATAGATACGTACCTAATCTAATGTTTGGAATAGATTTCAGAGTTAGCATTTTTATCATTACATGTTCTTGCTAATATCAGTCTGTCAAGCTTTTTGGAAATGATTATGGTGCTTGCCTGGAGATGAGTACAGATTTCTGCATTACGCATACATATACTGGCCTGATACTGTTCCTGGTATCAGTATAGAGGTAACTCTTTAATTGTTGTGTTAGTTTTAGATATAAAGTGTGCATACACTCTTTATAAACAGTCATAATGAGCACAGCCTCTTCTAAGACGCCCAGAGGTTTGTTAATGGAAACCTCACCAGTGTGTTTCCTGTGGCCTCTTCTGTAAGTGCCACCTAACCTATTTTTTATGCTTTGTTGTTGCAAAGACTTTTGGTGGTGACAGGAATCCCATACTTTGGGAGCCCCTTGCTTTGGCCCCTTTTGAGCACTCCACAGGGGCTTCCCTCAGGCTTGAGCATGGATCCCTTTTCATTTTGGCTCATGGCTGAAGCCATGATCCATTTCTTTTGCCCTGTAGCTCTCATTGCCTCTTGTGCCTTTTAGTGCTCTGAAGCTGCCTGGGAAGTTTTGGAGAGTATGGTAAATAATTTGGAAAAATGTGGAAGAGCTCGTTTTTTGTTCTTCGCTCATGAGTCAAGAAGACCTACAGCAGACTTGAATGTGCTTCAGGTTTTGTCAGGACGATTGTGTGGTTCCTGCAGGGTTTGACTTGCCAGGAGAGACCCATCATGTTTTTCTTTTTAGACTTTTTTTTAACCTGGTGTAGATTTTCATGTACACCTACTTGTTCTTTGTGCGACATACCAAGGAAAGAAGAATCCAGCTCATGGTTATGCCATATAGATATAACAATAGTAGGCATCAATTATGTAACAGGACTATATAAACAGGAAGGTGAGGTGAACAGGGTCATTGCGTGCATGCAGAGATGTCTGTTTGGTTGGTATTTCCCACAGCAGACATTTGTTTGGGTGGATTAAGGAAATCACTGAACCAGTCTATCATAAATAGCATGAAGGAACATGACTGTAGTCTCTCTTGTGGCTATTTGAAGAGCCAGTCAGATAAACAAACACCTACCTGTGATGAAGGGAAGGAAAGGGATGTCCGATGCCAAAGGTGTGTCTCTTCACCATTGCTGAGCTGTTTATCATCTATACTAGGGGTATGCAGTACAATGATATGTTATCATTATTGTAATAAATTACACCGCAGTACACTTTTCTGAGCTTATCAAGGGTATCGTCAGTACTTCTAGAACAGTGAACAACTACAAGTATCATAAAAAGACTTATACCAGTAATAGACCTCTGAAGTCTTTATGTAGTCATGCCCATGTTAGGAACTCTTAGTCTAAGCTGGATTTCTCTGGGAGAAAATTGAATATCAGCTCTATTGTGGCCTGTGTTAAAACAAAAGTGTTCCAAATATACATTTTGCCATACAGACATTTTTCCCTCAAATGTCACTGGATCCCCTGAATTATGAGGTTGTTAAGAAGTCGAAATACAGTTATTGCAACATGAAAACTAACACCGCTGAGCTGACATCATAAGACTGGCAACCACAGTTGAATACCCCAAGCCTTGTCAAGTGTGATGGTTAAGTTATTTTCATGCATCATCAATTAAGTGTGCAAGAGTGGTAGCTTGCGTGTAGCACATATGTGGCATTATATGCTGAACAAATTTGTAATTAGGAGCATCTGGTGGGACTTGGGGGGAAATGTATACAGGACAAAACAGCTTTGGGACATTTTCTGTTTACTATAGGGCACGACAGAAGAGATTTTTTTGCAAAATGCCATTCATTTTTCTCATAGGGAAAGTCTGCTTAAGTCTGGAGTTTCTAAACTAGGCATGATGCTGATTACACAATGACGCACGACTTTAGAGGTCTATAGAGAGCCTGTAAACAACAGCAAGCGGTATATAATAATTGCATAAACTACATAGTAACAAGTAGCTGATTGGATGTCAGCCCAGTATGCCTCTTTTTTTATTTTATTAATTCATTTTGCCAGTTGCAGATTTTTCTTCCTGTTGCTTTTTATGCTGTTTATTTTTAGTCATTTAATAAAAATAAATGTATTTTTATTAACTTTTTTAATATGTGGCACTGCTGTTTTGCTGAGGCATTCAGTGCATTTCAACTTGTTCTCAAAAACTAAACACAGTGGTTGATACTGGTATAAAGGTATTGGTCACACAATAATACTGATTTTTAGTTTCAGTGGTATTGATAGATAATGAACATTATATCCATGATGACATTCCATAAATTTGAGATATCTTAGTTACAAAACCAGTGGAAGAGCATGCTCAGCACACGGTGGATAATGCTTACATAAATAAAAAGTGAGGGAGTATTCACTAGACAGAAAAGTAAAGGTAATATATTTTTATAATGTTGTAATATTAAGTGTTATCAATACTGCCCCAGCAATACTCATAGCTGGGTCTCTTCGTTGAAAATGAGAAGAGAATTCCTAAAATGTGTTGCATGTCCAGAATGTTCTAAAATAAAAATTAAATTGTTCACAAAAAGAGAGAAGAAGTGGTGAACCAGAAACAGACAAAAAAGTGCAGTGTTTTTTGGTACTATAACTACTTGTAACAGACATTGTTTATCCCCAAAAACGACAGTTTCTCCAACAACATCCAGTATAGAGGACTTTTACTCTCCTGGAGTCTGCCTGTAAAAGGTCTCCACTAATATATGTGTGGTTTGTAGAGAGACTGCTGGTAGACTCATCATGTCTTTGATACAGTAAATCAGAGAACGTAATGCAGAATGCAGATCTGGTCTGGCTCAGGGTCAGCTCTTGTAGCTGCTTCCCAGGCTGGAGCACACTGCCACGTTTCGATACAGCCAGATGAGTTATGGCTTCAATTAGTTTTGGAGATGCTACAGAGCAAACACAGCAAAAGAATTTGCTGTGATCAAAAGAAAAGCATGTGCAAGCCATGAAATCTCATAAATCACAAATACCTTATTTAAATACATATAGCTGATATGATTAGTGAATCAAATAGCAGTGGGGTTTGCTTCTATAGTTAATCCAGTCAACAATTAGCTGTGTGTGAAGCTGTAGGAATGGTTTGGTGTAAGTTTTCCTCTTTACCCAAATGTAGTCTTATCAACCATGACAGTGTCTGAAGTAGAATTGTCACAGTGTATGATTGGATGATCATGAATAAGTTAACTGGCTCTGCCATCCACATCTGTTGTTAGCATGTACTATATTGCCATCTAAAAATGTCACACACCGAGCCGACCAAACAAATCGAGGACAGGATGTTATTGGCCATAAATAAAGCAGAAAGCTTTGCAGACATCTGACAGCTCTCCTTTAAGTTCAGTCATTCTGAGTGAGGTGACATATAAAAGTTTGTGGTCACAATAACAATAACATGTTTATCATATATATATTGTATAACATCTGTAACAAACATCTTCTGTAACAAAAAAGTCAAGTGTTACTTTAAAAGAGAAAATCTTCATAAAAACATTACATTATGAGAACATTGTTGTTGTGCTGTTTCCCCCTGCCAAAGTCTGTCCTGAGGTCATCCACTCTAGGTTATGTCATTATACACTGTTCAGCTATTGCAGCCTCGCAGTGTAACACCGGCTTTTTTAACCCATTGGTTTAAGTGAAATCTTATTTCAGCAGACTTGAGCTACTGGCACACACAATCTGTGACAGCAGACAGACCAGTTCAACAGGAGGGACCACCACGGTCACCACATTATCACATTGGCTGTAACAGTGGTTATAGATATTTCTGACAAAATCTGATTTAATGCAAATAGTTCTGTGTCTCACCAAGCAATAGCCAAGTGTTGTGTTTGGGCACCAGTCATGTAAATTTGATTTTCCTTAAACCTTATTTTTCCTTATAACCATCAGAGGTTAGGCTTATCAGAACCTTGTGATGAAGAAGCATACAGTCTATTCATGGCTTATATATTTAGGTCCTCTCAACTCTAAATATCCATTATGGTTAATTTCATCTTTTACTGAAATTTTCAGACTGTGGATTATAGTCCAGTAAGCCTGACATGGACTAAGAAATGATTCCAATGCTGACAAGCTCTGGACTGTCTTTGACAGCAGTAATCCTCCTCAGACCAATACAAGACTTAATTCTGGTCCAGGAACCTGGCTTAGAGAGCAGTGATAAAAGTGTAAACTCGCACCAGTTTGACAGGAGTGTTCTGCACCTCATCCAACTACATCTATCCAAAACAGCAGAGTGTGTGGCTGGCACACTGAAGGCTGGCTGGTTGTGCCCTTTCCAACACACTGATGACCACAGCATTTCCTAGCAGCGGTTTCCAATAAAGCGTGCAGGCTTTTCCAGAAACGGGGAACAAAAAGACGCTGGAGAGCTCAATAAACCGATCAAATGAAAATGGGGCAAGGAAAAGCATGTCTGTATGCCTGCAGTGCTCCACTGCATTCAGTCTGACCATCAGACCCTTGCAGCTGGTCCAAGACTAGCTCTCCAGGTCGGCTTCT